CACTGGTCTAAACAATGAGGCTGCTTGTGACCTCCTAGGGGCACTAATAAGCGTCCTTGAATTGTTGGCAAAGAGTTACCTGTTTGAGGACAGGCAGATAACGCCCTACTCCTTGCTCTGTGGGATACATTTACCCATATATACTACAGTGCCTTAAAGTATTCATACCCCTTGACATTTTCCACATTTTGTCATGTAACATTCAAAAGTGTAAAAGTATTTTATTAGGATTTTATGTGATAGGTCAACACAAAGTGGCACATAATTGTGCAGTGGAAGGAAAATAATTAAATGTTTTCAACATTTGTTACACATATCTGAAAAGCTTTCCAAAGTCACCTAATTTGTAAATAGAGTCCACCTGTGTGTAATTTAATCTCTGTATAAATACAGCGGTTCTGTGAAGCCCTCAGAGGTTTTTTAGAGAACATTAGTGAACAAACGGCATCATGAAGGCCAAGGAACACACCCAACAGGTCAGGGATAAGGTTGTGGAGAAATCAGGAGTAGGCTATAAGAAAAAAATATCCCAAGCTTTGAACATCTCACAGAGCACTGTTCAATCCATCATCCAAAAATGGAAGGAGTATGCAACTGCCAACCCTACCAAGACATGGCCGTCCCCCTAAACTGACAGGCTGGGCAAGGAGAGCATTAATCAGAGAAGCAGCCAAGAGGCCCCTGATATCTCTGGAGGAGCTGCAGAGATCCACAGCTCAGGTGAGAGAATCTGTCCACAGGACAACTATTAGTCGTGCACTCCACAAATCTGGCCTTTATGGAACAGTGGCAAGAAGAAATCCAGTTTGTGAGAAGCCATGTGGGGAACACAGCAAACGTGGAAAAAGGTGCTCTGGTCAGATGCTTTTCTTAAGCAAGGACAGGGAAGCTGGTCAAAGTTGATGCGAAAATGGATGAAGCCAAATACAGATCAGTCCTAGAGAAAAAACCTTTTGGAGTCTGCAGAAGCCTTGAGACTGGGGTTGAGGTTTTCCTTCCAGAAGGACAACGACCGTAAACATCCAGCCAGAGCTACAATGGAATGGTTTAGATCAAAGCATATTCATGTGTTAGAATGGCCCAGTCAAAGTCCAGACCTAAATCCAATGGAGAATCTGTGGCAAGACTTGAAAAGAAGTTTTGCAAAGAAGAATGGCCAAAAATTTCACTCTCTAGGTGTACAAAGCTGGTAGAGACATCCCCAAAAAGACTTGCAGCTGTAATTTCAGCGAAAGGGGGTTCTACAAAGTATTGATGGGGGGGGGGGCTGAATACAAATGCACGCCACACTTTTTTGGATATTTATTTGTAACAAATTTTGAAAAAGATTTATCATTTTCTTTCAGCTTCACTATTATGTGCCACTTTGTGTTGGTCTATCACATAAAATCCCAATAAAATATATTTGTCTTTGGTTGTAACATGACAAAATATGTAAAATTTCAAGGGGTATGAATAATTTTTCAAGGCACTGTATATGTGCGTTGTTTACTAAAACTGGGGACTGCGAAATTTGGTGCAACTCTGCATAGAAACCAATCAGCTTCCAGTTGTGTGTGTGTATTGTGTTTTTTTTTTTTTTTTTTTTTTTTATCAAAGCTTAACCACTTGCCCTCCAAAGGATTTAACCGCCCTTCCTGACCAGGCCATTTTTTGTTATGGTGCTGCGTTACTTTAACTGACAATTGCGCAGTTATGCAACACTGCACCCAAATGAAATTTACGTCCTTTTTTCCCACGAATAGAGCTTTCTTTTGGTGGTATTTTAGCACCTGTGGATTTTTAATTTTTTGCGCTATAAAAAAAAAGACCGCTAATTTGAGGGGGAAAAAAAACTATATTTTTAACTTTTTGCTAATTAAGCATATCCAGTAAAAAAAAAATTAAAAAATCAAATTTCAGCATACATTTAGGCCAAAATGTATTCTGCTATATGTCTTTGCTAAGAAAAAAAAAAAAAAAAAAAAATCCCAATACGTGTAAATTAATTGGTTTACGTGAAAGTTATAGTGTTTAAAAATGGCGTATACAGTGAGGAACAGAAGTATTTGAACACCCTGCGATTTTGCAGGTTCTCCCACTTAGAAATCATGGAGGGGTCTGAAATTCACATTGTAGGTGCATTCCCACTCTGAGAGACAGAATTAAAAAAAAAAAATTCAGGAAATCACATTGTATGATTTTTAAAGAATTTTATTTGTCTTGCACTGCTGAACATAAGTATTTGAACACCTGAGAAAATCAGTGTTAATATTTGGTACAGAAGCCTTTGTTTGCAAAGTATGCTTCCTGTAGTTCTTGACCAGGTTTGCACACACTGCAACAGGGATTTTGGCTCGCTCCTCCACACAGATCTCCTCTAGATCTGTCAGGTTTCGGGGCTGTTGCTGTGCAACACGGAGTTTCAGCTCCCTCCAAAGATGTTCTATTGGATTTAGGTCTGGAGACTGGCTAGGCCACTCCAGAACCTTGATATGCTTCTTACGGAGCCACTCCTTGGTTATCCTGTCCCATTCGCAGAAAAGCACCCCCAAAGCATGATGTTACCACCCCCATGCTTCACAGTAGGGATGGTGTTCTGGGGATGCAACTCATCCTTCTTTTTCCTCCAAACACGATGAGTGAAGTTTAGACCAAAAAGTTCTACTTTGGTCTCATCTGACCACATGACTTTCTCCCATGCCTCCTCTGGATCATCCAGATGGTCATTGGCAAACTTCAGACGGGCCTGGACATGTGGTGACTTGAGCAGGGGAACCTTCCATGCAATGCATGATTTGAAACCATGACGGCGTAGTGTTCTACCGACAGTGACCTTTGAAACTGTGTTCCCAGCTCTCTTCATGTCATTGACCAGCTCCTCCCTTGTAGTTCTGGGCTGATTCTCACCTTTCTTATCATCAGTGATACCCCACGAGGTGAGATCTTGCATGGAGCCCCAGTCCGAGGGAGACTGACAGTCGTCTTTAGCCTCTTCCATTTTCTAACAATTGCATCCAACAGTTGATCTGTTTTCACCAAGCTGCTTGGCAATTGCCCCGTAGCCCTTTCCAGCCTTGTGGAGGTCCACAATTTTGTCTCTGGTGTCTTTTGACAGCTCTTTAGTCTTGCCCATGGTAGTAGTTGGCGTCTGACTGACTGTGGGGTGGACAGGTGTCTTTAAAGAGCTCAGACAGGTGCTACTAAGTTATATTAATGAGTGGAGTAGAGGTGGACTTTTTAAAGGCACAGTAACAGGTCTTTGAGAGCCAGAATTCTTGCTGTTTCTTAGGTGTTCAAATACTTATGTTCAGCAGTGCAAGACAAATAAATTCTTCAAAAATCAGACAATCTGATTTCCTGTTTTTTTTTTTTTTTTGGTTTTTTTTAAAATCTGTCTCTCAGAGTGGGAATGCACCTACAATGTGAATTTCAGCCCCCTCCATGATTTCTAAGTGGGAGAATTTGCAAAATCGAAGGGTGTTCAAATACTTCTGTTCCTCACTGTATATACTGGGATTTTTTTTTTATTACTAGGTGGCGATCAGCGCCTTTATAGTGGGACTGCAGCGGGCATTTTGACACTGGGGGGAACTGACTAGGTGTGTCAATGGGAATTTTGCCCATTCAGCCAAAAAAAATTTAGTGAGGTCAAATACTGTTTTAGGATGAGAAAGCCTTGCTCACAGTCAGCCCTGGTTCACTTCGGTGCGACTTCAGATAATACATGCATTTTACAAATTGCATCTAACGTATTTCTATGGTAGTGTCCTAATCAGTGCAATTTTAAGTAGCACGATTTTCAAAAATAGTTCCTGCACTACTTTTTTTTCTGATTTAATTGTGATTTGCAATTACTGTTAAATGAAGTCACAAGCAATAGTGAAATCAGAGATAAAAATCTTATCTTCGGCTTTGAAATCGCGCTACTTCAAATGAAATAGAGTGATTTCAAAGTCGCATTCAGTGTGAACCAGGGCTCAGTCTTTAAATTTATTCCAAAAATGTTCAGTAGGGTTTTCCTGGAGTGTAGGCCTGTGCAGGTCACTCCAGTTCCTCCACACTAGGCTGGTCAAGCCATGTTTTATGGAGCTGGCTTTGTGTGCAGAGCACAGTCATGGTAACACAAGAAAGAGAGCCTTTCCCAAACTGTTGCCACAAGATTGAAAGCACACCGTTGTCAAACATATTTTTGAGCCCTGGATTGTTCACACTGACGCGGTGTGATTTTTTTTTTTTTTTTTTTTTTTTTTTTTTTTTTCTTTTTTCCCCTCTCCCCCCCCTGTGCGTTTTTAAGTGTTATTTTAGGAACAGTTGAGGTGTGATTGTGCTGTAAATCTAATGCGATTTTATATAGCTGCAATTTCTGTTCTGGCTAATTTTTTAACATTATAAATGGGTGTATCTCGCACTGAAATCGCATTGCATTTGAACACCCATGCATTTTCATTGCTGTTTTCATTCAAGTCTATGGGGCTCAAAAACACTCCACATTGCACCAAACATGTACAGGACGCTTTTGGAAATCGCATCAAATTTGGAATCAATTACCCAAATGTACCATTGTGGCGGGCACCCTGGGCACACGACTTCTTCTACCTGGTTCTGTTCATTAAGCTCCTCAGTGCTGACAGGTTTGTCCACATGAATGTCTTAGTAGCAGATAAATGGTAAAACCCAAGATTATGTTAACACAAAATGATCTTTCCCACATTTTTATATTTCATTACATGCTTTATAATTTAGTGAAGGCAACAAAGGAATTCATTCAAATTCAGTGATTCACAGTTTACCCTGTTTTTGTCTAATGAAAGATTTCATTATCATCTGTAATTCAATGTTATTTATATTCTATTATTAAAGCAAATAAAATGGCTTTTACTATGTTACAATCAGAAAATGCAGGCCTGTGTTTTGTACAGATTTTCTCATTGTAGATTCTTCTCCAATATTTTTACAGGTTCAGCTGTGTTAACAGTCTGGATCTAAGCTGACAGCTGGTACCTCCCCGTCCTGAGCCAATGCTGGATCTGGAGGTTGTTCCTGAGAGATCCCTTGGCAACCAGCAATGGGAGTTTACCTTAGGTGAGTAGTCGTATTAAGCCAATGGTGGTCTTTTATAGTATGAAAGTTGGTATTTAAAGTGTGCGTTCAGGCAAAACCCTACTAAGGCTATTCTATCTAACCCTGTAAAGAAAAGATCTGTATACATACCTACTCTGAAGCTGCTCTGGTCTGGTCCTAGGATCAGTGATCAGCGGTGACTTCTGAGTAGAGGAGGGGCAGCCGACAACGATTGCCCCATAGTAAGTCTATGAGTGATGTAATCTCTCAGATATTTCGGATATATGACGGCGATCTCCTGTACACTGAAGCCTCCGCTGGAGACCGGACTAGAGCTGCTTCAGAATAGGTAAGTATAGCGATCTTTTCTATACAGGGTGAGATAAAATAGTCTTCGAATGGAGGTGGGAGTAGATTAAGCTTTTGTTAGGTTTTTCCCGAACTTCCACTTAAGTCATGAGGCTGGGCTTGATGAGAAAAATAATTGTCTTCTGAGGCTACTGTACATTGCCCTCTGTCTGACTAGACACCCAGATTGTGGGGAATGCAACATCCATTTTGTTCTGTGTATACTATCTTCATGTGTGTAAATTACTGTTGACAACTAAGAAAATTTGGCAAAAAACTGGGCAGGTGAAAGAATACAGTAGAGGATCCCAAAAACTGGAGAAGAGAAGTACATTTTTTTTTTAAAAGTGTATTTATTTTCCCATTGTTCGTTTAAAATGAGTAATTGACACCCCAGTCACATCGGGTGCGACTTGGCATGCAATTTGCAAATCGTATGCCAAGTCGCACCTTATTGTCCGCAATCAGCACGGTCAAATTTGGGCGCGGAGCCACACCGATTTCTGAAGTAGTACATGTACTACTTTTGGTGCAATTTGCAGTTGTCTTGCAAATCACACCTGAAATTGCATCTCACCCGACTTTGAAATCTTGCGACTTCACTGCAAGTCGCACGATTTTCAAAGTCGGGCTTGATGTGACCGGGAGCTAAGAACAGTTAACAGGAGAATGGCACCTGTAGTACAATCAATAACTATTAAGAAAAAAATAAGACCAAGGATCACACTTTTATATATGGCTTGCATCCCTTTTTCTTCTCCAATTCTCTTTACTGCTCTTCTGTGCAATATTTAGACTCTGCTATGTCCAGCAAGGGTTGCCAAATTGTTTAACATTTTTGTGGCCTTGTCATTTTCACATAGGTAAGTTTAAACTTCAGCAGAACAGTCAGAGCAGAGCTTAATTCATTACATGGACAAGGTGGCCCACAGTATTGGTGTTTAAACCGAGCAAACAAAACCAGAGTTCTGTTCATTGCAGCAAGTCGTATAAAGTGCCATTTAGAGTGAAAAATAAAACCTGTTTACCGCAACCAGCACTTCATTTACCTTTTCTTTTAATTTTTTGGTCTGTGTATTGCACAATAACCAATCTGATGTAACCCATGCCATGCGTCCTTATGTGAAAAACTGCATGAGTTTGTTTTGTGCAAAGTGCCAAAAACCAAGCTGAGAAAGAAACCGTGTCACCTGATTTCAGGAATCTGGCCTGTTTTCTTTTTTTGAACATTGTGTTACCAGTAACATCCTGGAATGAGTCATCTCAGCAGCCACTTTGTACAATGTTTTACAATATTATTCAAAAAATATTCTTTTGTTAGGAAGACAAGTGGATAGGGCTACAGCAGGTGTGATGCCCTTAATGACTAACCATAAAACATATTTAAAAAAAATTAAAAAAAAAAAATATATATATATATATATATATATATATATATATATTATTTACAGTTGTGCTCAAAAGTTTGCATACCCTGGTAGAAATTGTGAAAGTTTAGTATTGATAATGACAATATGACTGATCATGCCATAAAAACTGTCTTTTATTTAAAGATAGTGATTAGAGAAGAGCGAATTATTCAAAATTCGATTCGGCTGATTCGCCGAATTTAAAATTTGATTCGATGCGAATTTATTCGCTGCAAAAATTTAACTTTATTAAAGGGTTTCTAGGCTTCAGAGAGCCTTTATATTAGTGCAGAACACTGTACCTTTAATTTAAATGCCCTTGGAGTCTGCTGGGGAAGAGAAATAATACTGTCAGTCAGTATGACATGCAGATGAGTGCCGTCGATCTTAGAATCACCGCACACTTCAAATTTGGGCAGTCACGGGGCACGACGAAGAAGATTAAGAAGAAATGAAGAAGAAGAAGAAATGAAGAAGAAGAAGAAGAAGATGATGAAGAAGATGAAGAAGAAGATGAAGAAGAAGATGAAGAAGAAGAAGAATAAGAAGAAGAATGAAGAAGATGATGAAGAAGAAGATGATGATGAAGAAGATGAAGAATAGGAAAGAGGATGAAGAGGAAGAAGAAGAGGATGAAGAAGAAGAAGAGGATGATGAAGAAGAAGAAGAGGATGATGAAGAAGAAGAAGAGGATGAAGAAGAGGATGAAGAAGAAGAAGAGGATGAGCAAGAAGAAGAAAAGGATGAGGAAGAAGAAGAAGAGGAAAAAGAGGAAGAAGAAGAAGAGGAAGAAGTAGGATGAAAAGAATTTTTTGGTCAGTACAGCAAAAAGTGTATCTGCAGAGTAGCCCATCCGCTATTTCTGACAGTTCTTTGACAGTTCCTTCACATTTACAGCGGTTGAAACATTGTATCTATTTGTTTCCGAATAAAAACATCTGTATCCTAAATGGAAACAAATAGATACAATGTTTCAACCGCTGTAAATGTGAAGGAACTGTCAGAGAACTGTCAGAAATAGCGGAGCTCTCTGCAGGGACACTTTTTGCCGGCTGTAGAAACATATGAAAAAAAAAAATCGGGAAAAATATTCGATTCGTGCATCTGAAGTTTGCTAAAAGTTTTCGGATTCGGTGCGAATCGAATTTTTCCTAATATTCGAAACGAATTCCACTTCGCCAAGTTCGTCTTCGCTCATCTCTAGATAGTGATCATATGAAGCCATTTTATTATCACATAGTTGTTTGGCTCCTTTTTAAATCATAATGATAACAGAAATCACCCAAATGGGCCCTGATCAAAAGATTACATACCCTGGAATGTTTGGCCTTGGTACAAGGTGACACACACAAGTTAAAATAGCATTTAAGGACAATTTCCTACATCTGTGGTTTTTAAATTGCAATTATTGTCTGTGTATAAATAGTCAATGAGTTTGCTGCAGAGAAGAACTGTCAAAAGACCTGCGTAACAAGGCAATGGAACTTTTATAAAGATGGAAAAGGGTTTAAAAAGATATCCAAAGCCCTGAATATGCCAATCAGTATTGTTCAATAACTTACACAAATTTTCCACTTCTTGATATCTCTTGATACCAAGCCAAGGTTAGGTAGACCAAGTGACCACTATACGTACTAAGACTGGGATGCCATTAAAATTCATGTGTGTGTATAAGAGCAGGCGTCCCTATACTTTTGGCAATATAGTGTGTGAGATATATATATATATATATATATATATATAAAAATTGCACCCATCTATACACAGGTAAAATAAGTATTGAACACGTCCGTCACCATTTTTCTCAGTAAATAGATTTCTAAAGGTGCAATTGACATGGCATTTTTACTTTCCAATGGGGACGCTAGCTCTGGTGACGTGGGGGTCCCCTAAGAATTCCTTTAAGTTGCAATGATTTCCTCTCACTTCCTGTTTGCTTATGGGACAGGAAGTCAAGGGAAATCTCTGCAATGGGACACAGATGACAAAAAAAAAAAAATCTGACGGGTTATAACCCTCCATTACTCTATCCAAAATTTTAAAAAAAAAACAAGTTTTGCCTATAGTTTTACTGTAACAAAAACATTCTTTTTACAGTGCAATAATGTTTTCATTGTTTGCGCCATTAAAGCAAATTCATCTGAGCATGTTAAATATTTTGGATTAGAACTATCCCAGCTGAGATAAATTGGACAGCTTTCCAGTAGAAGAATGTTTGTTTCTATTGTTTTATTTTACTTATGGTAATATCTAGAAGGATAAGCTCAGTTTGGAGGTATTTGGGGCAATAGTTCAGCAATAGGTTGATTTTGTTTGGGATGAAACTAACTGAAGTGTTTGTCTAACAGTACTAATAAATCTTCTATTTCAAAAGAATTCCCTGTAGGTTTTTCCTAAGTTGTGCAAGCACTAGGGTAGGAATTCGAGTAAGAGCTCCAGGAAGTGGCCAGGCCAGTTCTTATTCCACATAGGTGGTTTAATTTTCGGCACCAAAGATCCTGGCATGCCCCTGTCTCCCCAGCTCCGAACTCCAGAGAGGGCTTAGGGAAGACTCTGTACCTGAAAAGCGAGAACACTCACCATTAAACTACTTTGTCATAAGATATATTTTTGGTTGTCTGTTGCAGGAATGCCCCTGGCTCAGGCTGTGTCTATCCTCCAGAAACATTGCCGAATGATCAGGAATGTGCAGATCCTCTATAGCGAACAAGTAAGTGGACCCTTCAGTAACTTTACAAGTCTGAATAAATAAAGGTCACAATGTGACATAATCTAGAAGCAGAAGTTTTTCTTTTTAAGTGTTCTTGCATGGCAAGACCACTTACTGTTATCTCACATATATATTCTTATTATTATAGCCAAATTTACCACCCTAACTCCTCCCACAGTTTTTACACTACATAGACAGTAATATACCAAAACGTGCGGATTGTTCCCGATTGGTGTGCTATTACTTTGTGGAACGTTTCGCCGAATGGTTCACGAAATATCGGTGTTTTTGTGGTGACATTGGTTCCATAGGAATGAATGGCGGAATGTTCAAAACTAGAGTGGGAGCTGACAAAAGCTAGAGTGTGAGCTGAAAAATCAGGACATGATTTCTAAACTGCCACCACTCCCTCATTTTCAAGCCCACCTACACAAATCTTATATCAAAACGTTCAGCTATCCCTGCTGCCACTAAAAATGTCCACGGCTAAGCCATAGTCCTGATACTTTTCACAATATGACCATTTGTTGCAACTCACGCCGCCCATTGACATTCATTGAAACTCCACTCTAGCCACCTCAAATTTGGAGGGCAATTTCTAAACTGCGACTGTGCCTTCATTTTTAATATTTCGGAGACATACTATGCTTCAAAATGTAGGTCTGGGTCTTGTGATTCTCACAATATAAAACTCTTTGGTGTAGGATTTATAATTTTTAAACTACAACCGTTTGAAAATGGCAACCGCCAGTGAAGTGAGCAAGTTGGAGCAGTTTGTTTTTAACCGCTCTTCTCTGCCCTTGATGTAGAGTGAGTTGCCATAGGAACCCAGGTGTGTGAGCAGGCAGCAGAGTGACAAGCCACTCCACCCACTTACTCCGCCCACTCCAGTTGTAGACTACTGGTGGAGGCAAGAACACTTCACACAATTTCCTCAGAAATTGTAGCTTTTCTAGTTATTGAAAAGCAGTCCTAGAGCCCCAGTCAAGTGACATTGCCAAGGCTAAGATGATGTCATCAGTCTGCTGCAGGCAGGAGGCAACTTTCCCTAGTCTGCTCTTCACCAGTGATGTAAATGCAATGTTGTAATTTTTTAGCAGATCACAAGGGGAAAGTCTGCAGCAGAGGACTAATCTATCTCAGACATTTGTGCAGCAGCACAGGTATTGGTACTGACACGAGTGTGTCATCTCTGAGCCTGCAACAAGGTTTATAAAGTAGATGCAGATCCTGAATAGTGCCTATACAAAGATGGCACCATTCTTCTGGAAATAAAAGCATTATCAGCAGGAGACCTGTGATTCCTGTATACTAATAAATAACAAGTTTTAAATGAAAGGAAAGCCCGGAAGGCCACACTAAAGCACATATCCAATTTTATTGTATAGAAAAGCAACTTAAAAACGCCATACTATATGCCAGTAGGGGAAAAAAGTTTCACGTATATCGCACTAACCCCAGCACTTAATCATAACCCCTGAGGTTGGTGCGATTCGCGTGAACCTTTTCTTCCCTCACTGGCACACAGTATGGGGGTTTTAAGGTGCTTTTCTATGCAATAAAGTGGATATGTGCTTTAGTGCGGCCTCCCGGACTTTCCTTTGCTGAAGGATTGTGGGAGTGGCGAGCCTACCTGTAGCAGCGCTACCTTCAAGTTTTTACATTTACATATTACATAGTCACTAAATGTTCCTTTTTATATTTTGCACAACTGACTCCAGATTAAGTGACCTAGATTTGGAATATATACACCTTTTATGGAACCTTCAGGCAGCGATTTTACCTTGTTGCCTTTTGGATGTGCAAGAAATCCAACCCATGCATCTATGGTGAAGGAAAGCACAGTGTAAACAATCGTGCTATGGATTTCTTTTGGTGACCTCACTATAACCTAAGTACAGCATCACCTTCTTAAAGGAGAAGTGTGGGAACAAAAAAAACACACACACATACTCCCCTAATATGGCTGCAGTATTTGTGTGAGGTTGCAGCTGTCCCTCATTATCTCTAAGAATTGAGTATTCATGTGACCACACATTTCTTTGGTCCACTGTGGGCACAGTGAGAACCAGGCAGGAGAGGGGGCGGGAACAGCTGGCTCAGGCTCTCAGTTGCTTGAAAAAAAAAAAAAAAAAGGAAATCCCAAATTTTGGGTTGACATCAGAACATTAACCTCCCTGGCGGTATTCCCGAGTGTAGCTCGGGGTAAAGTTTCAGTACCAAAAGCGGTAACCCCGAGCTACACTCGGGCTTACCATGCAGCGTTGCACAGGGATTACCTACAGCGCTTACTTGTCCTTCGCTCCCGCGATGCGTCCCCTGCAGCGTCCCCCGGCCATCTCCTCCAGCCGATGCCGGCATCTGGCTTCCGTGTTCCGGTCCCTGTAACGTCGTGACGTACGGGCACCGGAACCGGCGGCAAATTTGTAATTTTAAAAAAAGACATTTTTTTAAAAACAATTATTTCATAGCAAAACATTCCTGTATCAAAGCATTTCACATACATTTTGTCCCTACTGCTTTGTCCTGTGCCCTGTCTGCATTTTGACTGTTCTTTCTGCCTGGAAACTTAGAAAAGTCCACGGCATCCAAAAAGCGTCCCTTTATTTCAAAATCGGTTTTAGACCGGCTAGAGAACAGCGATAGTAAATCAGAATTACTTGCAGAATTGAGTGATAATAATTCATGGGGGAAATTCGTCATCAGACACTGAAAACGATTTTGCGACTTTGCTCAGTGATGTGCGAACTTGGCGCTATATTTCAAATTTCAGTGTTTTTGGTTTGATTATATTATTGAATTAAATTTATTATTATATTATTATTTTTTATGAGTATTTATTAAGTAAGTAATTACTAAGAATTGCAGGCCTGCAATACATAACACCAAATTTCCATGCAAAAAAAAATGGTACCGCCACATCGCTTTTGGTACAAAATTCCTGACATAATCATACCGCCAGGGAGGTTAATAGAGGGGAAATCTTCAAGTGGAAACACTAGTTCTGATGACACACAGGGATTCCCTCACTTTGAAGGGATTTCCTCTCACTTCCTGTTTTGGCTATGGAACAGGAAGTGAAGGGAAATCTCCCCAATGGGATAGAGATTGAAAACAAAGCTGACAGGGTTAGGACCCTCCCTTACAAAGATATTGCCTTTAGTTATACTTTAATTGAGATGTAAGGTCTGTTGGTTTTTCCATTGTAGTCTATGGAGCCAGGCTGCACTCCTGCCATTGCAGTTTCTGAAAGACACTTCTGGGCTCTAACATAGATGAATGCCATGTTCTGGCCTGAGGCTGCTTTATTTTTCTTTTAGCTGTACACGTTCTGGGGGCCAATGTGGGAAACTCCTTTATTATTTCAGTTCCACTTTAGGTTTCTTTTGCAGATGTTTAACATTTTCTCCACATTCAGCATGTATACTTTATTAAAGTACATTTAAATGAAAAAAAAAGTCTGATTGGATGTAGCAAGCATTTGTGTTCTTTGTGTTCTTGTTAAGAAATAAAAACAACTGTTGTGTTTTTTTTTTTTTTTTTGTTAATATTCAGACTTTGTATTTTTGTTCACAGTGTCCTTTGAATCATGACCTCATACTTAGCCTTACTCAGGACGGGATCAAACTGTTGTTTGATGCATTTAATCAAAGGCTAAAGGTGAGAAGCTTGTAGAAATGGGAAAATGAGGGTTCTTATTGGCTTATTCCATTTTTCTAATGCTCTTGATATTTCTAATTTCTTTATATTCAGGTGATAGAAGTATATGATTTGACAAAAGTAAAATTAAAATATTGGTAAGTGTATCTGTCACCATGGCTTGTGCCTCACCTGACCACATCTTTTGGTCAGCTTCATTATCGCCTCCCTTTTTTTGTTTTGTCTCTTGGTATAATCTCTTACATGATTTTGTTGTTTCTGTGACTTTTATACAAAACTCCGCACTTTCTTTGCTACTTACATTGTATATCTAAGCAATAAAACATACTCACTACATGTCTGCAATGCATTCGCATTTTCCCATGTTTTGCATATTATGCTGCAAGTACAGAAACAATGCTTGCCGATCTGTCTATGTTAACTGATAACACTTGCTGTATTAAAATTCCAAACTGTGTTGTGGACTACAGAACATGTCACTATAACATCATCATCTCTTTATTTCCATAACATAATGCAGATGTGTTCTGTAGACCAACAGATAACTCATGCAGGGCTGCCAGCATAGGATTCATTGCAAAAATGTACCCCTACCTTTATTATATTTTTTACGATTACAACCCCCCCCCCCCCTGCCCCCCCCCCACCCCCCCCCCATATAACCTTCACTGTGTGTGTGTGTGTGTGTGTGTGTGTGTGTGTGCGTGTTTTTTTTGGGGGGGGGGGGATTTCTCTGCTTGCTTTGACCCTGGTTCTTTCTCTGTAACCTTTGTTTTCAATGCCTTTTTTCTCTGCCCTCTAGTCCCATGTAAACACTTCCTTTTCTTTGTCTGCTGCTACCTATTCCTTGTAACATTTTTAATGGATAAGTTCACCTTTTAACAAAAGATAATAAATGCACATTTTTTTGCAGGTAATTTTTTTTATTTTTTATAATTTTTTGTTTCTGGCGCCTAAAGCATTGCACAAGCGATCAGCAGATCACTGGTGCCATGCAAGTCTTCTGCAGACCTGTCAGTATATCTGCTTCTTTGTAAGGGATGTACGGGCAAGCAGATACACTGGCAGGAAGAATCGGTGAACTACGATGGCGCTCCACAGTGCTCTGGTAGTTCATTGAGAGCCACAAAGGCTGTCGGGACTTGTAGTTCATTCACTCTCTCCCCCCTCTCTCTCTCTCCTCCTCCCCCCTCCCTCCCTCTCTCTCTCTCCCCCCTCCTCTCCCCTCCCCCCCGCTCTCTCTCCTCCCCCCCTCCTCTCTCTCTCTCTCCCTCCCCCCTCTCTCTCTCTCTCCCCCCCTCCCCCCCCTCTCTCTCCTCCTCCCCCCCTCTCTCTCCCCCCCCCCCTCCCTCTCCTTCCTCCCCCCTCTCTCTCTCTCTCTCTCTCCCCCCTCCCCTCTCCCCCCTCCCTCTCCCCCTCCCCCATATCCCCCTCCCTCTCTCTCTCTCTCTCTCTCTCTCTCTCTCTCTCTCTCTCTCTCAATCTCTCTCTCTCTCTCTCTCTCTCTCTCTCTCCTTGCTGCTCAGTCTGGGTTCTTCTATGAGCCAACTCCCCCATAATACATGCTTTTCTCCTTCTGATTCCCCATTCTGACCTCTAACTGCTATAAATGGGGGGGTTTTTTTTCTGACTTTTTATGTCTATTTTCTCTTTATGCAAAATCAATATGAATCACCTGCCCTCTTTTTGTTACAGTGGGGTTCATTTTAATTCCCAGGCCATAGCTCCCACTATAGAGCAGATCGATCAGTCATTTGGAGCAACACATCCAGGAAGTAAGACCCCCACTTTATTAATGTTGGGATGTACTTGTTTCAATACAGCAATTATCTTCATGCTGCCTTATGTTCATTTCAGTATACAACTCAGCAGAACAACTGTTCCACCTCAATTTTCGAGGTCTGTCGTTTTCCTTTCAACTGGATTCCTGGACGGAAGCCCCTAAGTATGAGGTAAGAAATTCTGCTTGTTAAAAAGGATATTATTTACTGACTGCTTAAAATCTGTGCAAGCAAAGGTATACCCTGTCATGAACGGTATAGATTGAATGAATGATTTTTGGCTTCTAAGTGACTCATAATATACTGGTTTGACTTGCTGACCAATCGGTCAAATAACATATGTCCAGCTAAAATTTTGTCTAAGTATACTATCTCATTAGAACTGGTCTTGGGAAGGGACAAACATTAGGGAATGGCAAAATGGTTCTCGAACTTGCACTTTAAGTTTGTGAGATAGAGAAGGCAAAATGGCTTTTGCTTTTGGACTAGAGGTTATAGAGGAAGCCAATTAGAAGCTGTCCACATTAAGGGTGGAGTGGGTAGAGCAGTGACTACTAACCTGTCAACCTCTGTAACATTAGGAGATGCAGAGCAGTAGCTCACAGGACATAATATACAGTGCATTCATAAAGTATTCAGACCCCCTTCACTTTTTTCAATGTTATGTTGCAGCTTGATACTACAGTTGCTTAAATTCATTTTTTAAATCTGCATTCGGTACCCATTAATGACAAAGCTAAAACCAGAATTTTAGAAATGTCTGTGAATTTAATAAAAAGAAAAAACTGAAGAAATATCACATGTACTTACATATTCAGACCCTTTACTCTAGTACTTTTTTGAAGCACCTTTGGCAGCAATTACAGCCTCGAGTTTGGGCATGACGTGACAAGCTTTGCACACCTGGACTAGGGGAATTTCATGCTATTCTTCTTTGCAAATCCTCTCGAGCTCAATCAGATTGATATGGGGACCATCTGTGGACAGCCATTTCAGGTCTCTCCAGAGATGATCAATAGGGTTCAAGTCAGGTCTCTGGTTGGGCCACTCTAGGACATTCATAATATTGTCCCTAAGCCACTCCTGTGTTGTCTTGGCTGTGTGCTTAGGATCATTGTTATGTTGGAAGCTGAACTTTCTAAAAAATATTGTCCCATCTCCATACAGGATCTCTTGAGCTCTGTCAGAGTGACCTTTAGGTTCTTGGTCACCCCTCTTACTAAGGCCCGTCTCCCCCAATTGCTCAGTTTGGCCAGGTGACAGCTCTTTGAAGAGTCCTGGTTTTGACAAACTTCTTCCATTTGAGAATTATGGAGGCCACTGTGCTCTTTTGAACCTTCAGTGCAGCAGAAATGTTTGTAGCCTTCTGCAGATACGTGACTTGCAATAATCCTGTCTGAGCTCTGCAGGCAGTTCCTTTTGACCTCCTGGCTCTTGCTCTGATACAGTATGCATTGTCAGCTGTGAGACCTTTTATAGAGTGCTGTGTGCCTATCCATGTCCAATCCATTAAATTTACCATGGGTGAACTCCAATCGAAGTGTAGAAACATCTCAGCAATGATCAAGAGAAATTGGAGGCACTGGCTAAATTGTTGCTAAGTGTTGTTGCAAAGGGTCTGAATACTTAGATCAATGTGATATTTTAGTTTTTTTTCTTTTTCATACATGTGCAAACATTGCTAAAATTCTGGCTTCACTTTGTCATTATGGGGTACTGAATGTAGAGTAGCCTCCCTGACGGTATTCCCGAGTGTAGCTCGGGGTAAGGTTTCAGTACCAAAAGCGGTAACCCCGAGCTACACTTGGGCTTACCATGCGGCGCTGCTTCGGCATCTGTTCTTTACTTACCTTGTCCTGCGCTCCCGCGATGTCCCTCCTGCAGTGTCCCCTGTAATGTACTCCAGCGGATGCCGGCATCTGTCATCTGGGTTCTGTCCCCTGCGAGCGTCGGGACGTACGGGGGACGGAACGGCGGGAAATTTGAAAATGACAAAAAGTGGCATTCACTAAATACACTAAAATTACATAGTAAAACATTACTGTATCAAACCATTTCACATACATTTTGTCCCTAATTCTTTGCCCTGTGCCCTGCCTGCATTTTTACTGTTCTTATTGCCTGGTAATTGAGAAACGTCCATGGCATCCAAAAAGAGACCCTTTAGGTCAAAATTGGTTTTAGACCAGCTAGAGAACAGCGATAGTAAATCAGAACTACTTGCAGAATTGAGTGATAATGATTTGTGGGGAAATTCGTCATCAGACACTGAAAACGATTTTGCGACTTTGCTCATTGATGTGCGAACTTGGCGCTATATTTCAAATTTCAGTGTTTTTGGTTTGATTATATTATTGAATTAAATTTATTATTATATTATTTTTTTATGATTATTATTAAATTATAATTTATGATTTCGTGTTTCAAATTTTAACATACCCGGGATGTTTACTAGACTCTTGTTCGGGCAGATTTCAGTGAGTTATTCCTAAAAATTACAGGCCTACAATAAAAAAAATACATATTTCCATGCAAAAAAGTGTACCGCTTTGAGCACAGAAATATGGACATAATCAGACCGCTAGGGAGGTTACTAAGAAATGAATTTAAACAATTGTGGTATCAGGCTGCAACATAACATAATGTAAAAATTGAAGGGGGAAGGGGGGTCTGAATACTTTATGAATGCAATGTAGATAGGTTGTAAAGTGTGATGGGGAAGTAAATGAGCAGAAGCACTGTGGAGATGATCAGAGTGGGTAAGGCAGTTAGATCTGATTGTGCACAGGGTTTAGAACAGGGGTCTGCAACCTTTAAGACATAAAGAGCCACTTGGACCCGTTTCCGAGAGGGAAAAAAAAGACTGGGAGCCGCAAAACCATTGCAACATTTAAAACAAATCCGACACTGCATATATTGCAAAAAGCGTTCTGGTCATGAAGGGGGTTTAAGGGCCCAGTAAGCAAAGGGTTAATCAGGGCCACAGTGTATCGTCATAATCACAATCATAGCCTTAGGTCAGTGGTGGGCAACCTTTTTTTTTCAACTGAGCCAAATCTCGCCAAAACCACGATTGAAATTTATTTTGAGAGCCACATTTTTAAAACTGAAAATACATCCCCCATATAGTAATTCATCCCCCATATAGTAATTCATCCCCCCTATAGTAATTCATCCCCCATATTAAGTCCCCAAGTCCCCCCTGTGTCAATTCACTTACCTTTGCTCCGCGCGTTCCTCTCGCCGTGTTCCTGCGCCGTTCCGGTGTAGCATGAAAATCTGTCTCCTATGAGGATCTGTCCCCCTCGACGTATCTGCGCATGTGCCAGTTTCAGGCATTAGCAGCCGATCGGCGATCTCCGGCACATGCGCAGATACGTCGAGGGAGACAGATCCTCATAGGAGACAGATTTTCATGCTACACCGGTCTTCAGGGCGGACTGTGAGAGGAGCCTAGCGGGAGCCTAGCTCCACGGGCCGGATTAAAAGGTCCGCCGGGCCGTAGTTTGCCCATTGCTGCCCTATTGCCTGTCCCTGGTGGGCAGTGTGCTCCGGAGCCGCAGCCAAGGTGAAAAAGAGCCGCATGCGGCTCTGGAGCCGCGGGTTGCCAACACCCGGTTTAGAAGATGTGATCAGATCATTGAATTCTGGAAGAGGAAGAAAAGTGAGGCTAAATGTAGTTGGGTTACAAATGAGAAGGAGATTGTTGCTTAGATTAAAGGAGGTAGAGTAGGAGTTGATTGAGGATGGGGAGAAACGGTTTAGAGCTAGAACTGATTGCTCCTGAGGGCTTAGGAACTGAGAAGTTGCAATGTGGCAAAATTATCTGGTCATGAACTAAGGCCAAAGAGGAGCTAGGGGAAGTATCACCTATGAACTGTAATTTCTCCTTCCCAGGGTATTTTTTTACTCTTTCACTTTTGTGTAAAATTTGTATTGCAGTTGTTTGCACTAGCTATGACACACTTCTGACATTGGATGGAACTTTGCCAAAGTGGGAAGGAGCCAGGCTTAGCACAGGAGACTTGTACATTGCAATGCGTTACTGTGTTTTCACTGCCACTATGTGGATTACAGTATATGTATGCAAAACAAAAGTCAATGCAAATGTTTATTCTTGCTTTTATAGCCCAACTTTGCCCATGGATTGGCATCACTTCAGATACCACATGGAGCCATGGTGAAACGCATGTATATATACAGCGGTAACAGCCTCCAAGATACAAAGTAAGAGACAACTTAAAGCACAGCTGCTATTGTTTACATTGCTTTAGGCCACTCCCAGAGGATACATTACGTTCACAGAAAGTCAACTACCTGGAATAGCTGTAATACCAGACTACACAAAAAGTTTCAGTGCAAGAAAAATTCTGGTAGTATGCGAGGTCAAAAGAAAATGCATTTGCAATGAAAAGACACTTTGGGGCATAAATTATTAAAACTAGCTATAGCCCTGCATTGTGCTATACTTTGATTGTTTGAGGAACTTATAGTTTGTTTTCGGAACTAAAATTTTGTTCCAGCAAAGAAAATATTTCTGATTAGGGGACAGGCATTCTTTAAGAAAAAAATGTGTAATTTTTTCCTATATTTTTACATGGTAGAGCTCCAGCTATGCCTTTGGGATGCTACATGGGCAATGTATATGCAGAGAGTGTGGATGTCCTGCGAGATGCATCTGGTCCCCTAGGGCTGAGACTCCGTTTACAGAGCACAGGTATGATGAGCTATGCATGCAATATTTATTGGAATGTGCATATTAAATCAGAACAAAAACAGTTCTGCTGTGATACATACTTTCCTAAAACACTACATAGCTTAGCTAGCGATTGCACTCTCCAGTGAGAAGCCAGGGGACACGGGAATATAACTGAGCATTGTCATGTTGCTGTGATTTCAGTGCTTTTCTTTTTATTCAATCTATATTTTCAGGAAATAATACACTAAAATGAATTTAAGTGCACACAATCAAAATATAATTCCCAATTTTTTTGTACAAAATAAAAGATGAGGTTGTATTGAGAAAATAAATACCAAATTTGTCAAGATTTAAAAGTGCCTATGAAACACTGAAAATTTACAGTGCCTAAAGTTATCAACAGGCGATGCTTTAAATGCCTTTAAAGTTCACCAGTTTATCCGTTCATCAGCTTAGAGATAACTATAAGGCTACATTCACACAGCTAATCAGGGCCATATGGCACATTTTTCTGTCCCTAACCACAGGTAGCTACTGGATACATGCATACAGCTGTAGCTCCTGTCAACCTGTCATTGCTTTGTAAAGGCTTTCTGACCACTAGTGTTTGGATACACCTGTGATTACAACTGCTAAAATCAGCTGATTCTTGCCACAGGAATCTAATCGACCTTGTGAATGTAGCCTAAATGAGGAACCTATAATTTATTTATCTCATTCCGGCTTGTGCAACCTTACCCAATAGGTATTGTACAATTGCTTCAATAGACACACACCCTATGCAAGCATTTGTATGTATATGCCTGGGGCAACAGGGAAGCTTTTATTTTTAGCGATTTTTATATTACATTTTTAACACTTTTTTTTTTTTTTTTTGTTAGAAATTATTGCTATCAGAATATTTACAAGACAGGGGTCTCTACAGCCCCCCAGGTCACGTTTACTCAAAGGTCCAGGAGCCTGCTAATAAAAATTGAAACACGGTCATGGCTGCTACTGTAGTGATGAGGTTGTTTTAACCCCTGCAAGGCTTAGACTTACAGGGCATGTCCAAAGAACTGAAGTGGTTAAGCACAGGCATGCTATGGACAAGGCCCTGACACTGACATTGTGATGCTTTTGTGTGATAATAAACAAAAGATAATTGGCCAGCAATATGATGTCTATTGGTTCACTATTTCCCCTACTCAAACCAAAACATTCCTCCAATGGAGAGCACAAGTAAAGGGTTCTTTTTAGGGGTGCTACAAACTAGCTAATCAAATGGCAATAGCTGTGGGACAGGAGTTCAAGGAATTGTCAGTTTTTGGAATTGCAGCAAAACGTTTTTTGTTTTTATTTTTGAATAGATCATGGAAGGAGAAAAAACCCATCTCACTTTTCTTCATATATATGGCTCTATTAGAAAGATATCTTTCTCTTACGTTACAGTGACAACGGTTTCACCAGACAGGAAGTAAAGGAAACTCCTACACCAGCACATTGGAAAAAAAAAAACAACTTTTTTGTTAGTAGAGTAGGGGAAAGAAGAACTCCTGTCTGCTTTGAATTTCTTTTGTATGTATTTTGCACATTGTCCCTCCTTTTCTGTCTGGTAAACTTGTCACTGTGACGTTAAGTGAGGGGAAAGATCTCTCACAAAGCCCCAGATAGCAGTAAAAACCGACAGGAATTTCAATCCTTCCAACCAAAAACTAAAATAAAGAATTTGGTCAGACATACACTTTTTATGCTTTTAAGAGTAAATCCGCTTTTGCTGACCAAAAAACATTCCCATTTCTGTGGTCTATGTACATTGTGAGGATTTGAACAAACTTTGTTGCAGATTCCTACCTTTGGTTGTTCTGAGAATATAGCTGGCTGTTTGCCTATGTCCATGTGCAGAATGAATCTGTATGTGAGTGCTTTCATAATAATCAGCTGGTGCACCTGCAGGGCTCTAATGAGGAAAGTGGCAGAATCTGCATCCCTTTACACCCCCGTCACATCGAGTGCAACTTGGCATAAGATTTGCATGCCCTGCAACTTGCAAATCATGTGCCAAGTTGCACCCTATTGTCCGCTATTAGAGCGGTCATATTGGTGCTTTTCCGAATTCGTCGGAGCTGCACCGATTTCTAAAGTGGTGCATGCACTACTTTTGGTGCGATTTGCATAGACATCTATGTCAGATGTCTTGCAAATCTCACCTCAAATCGCACAATTTCAAAATCGGCTTTGATGTGACCGATGTGTTAGATGCAATTTCCCTTTGTGAGTATCTTACCAAAAATGAAATTTTTGTTGCAGAGAATGTTCAAAAGCTGACTTGTATCTTACTGCAGACTTCTAGGAAAATTAGTAAGCCAATCACACAAGCAGGAAATTACATTTCCAGGGGGCGTTCTGTACACCATCTGTGTACAGAATGCCTCCAGGTTGCCACATTGTATTACATTTTACAAAAGATTACAATGCTGCAGATTGAAATGGAAAGGTCATTTTAAACAACATTCAATAACAATATGACTTGTGTCACAGTTGTATACGCTATATTAGTTTTTTTTTAATATTTACTTATTTTCTACGAAAGTGAAGTTACCCTTTAAAGCAGTTGCAGACCTTAAACATTATATATGAACAAAGCATATCCCTTCATAGTGTGTACTTGTTGTCTCCATTAAGAGCACTAAGTGTCATTTCTGTCTGCTGCCTCCTTCCTGTTATCAGTATGAGTCACTTCTGACAAGTCTTCCTGACGCCAAGAGAAAAATGGTGATAGGGAAGGGAGCTCCAGCCAATTGACAGCCTCAGCTTTGTTGCTGTCTGTGTGCCGTGTGGAGGAGAGTGTGTCTCTTCCCTCCAATCAGCTCTCGGAGCTCTTTTCACTGAGCTCTTCAAAGTTTAATTTCAGCTCCCCGCGCCCTTTTTTTTTTTTTTTTTTTTGAACTCTCACACAAGCTGTATAAATTCAGCACTTTGAACAGAAGTAAAGAAGACTTCCGATAAATTGGTGTAACTTATGCAGGAGGATTTGTTTCAGCTCTGTGTATCACCTGAGGCCAATCACTTTTCTAGGTATATGTAAGAGTTTACAACCACTTTAATAATTTGCTGGTTTATAGCTGTGTAATACCTTGTTTTCTTCACTGGCAGGTTGTGGTCCAGGAGTAATGGCCGATGCTAAGCTGCGTGTATCTGAGCGGTGTGTGTATTTTGGAGACTCGTGTCAGGATGTGCTGAGCACACTCGGAGCTCCACATAAAGTCTTCTACAAGTCAGAGGACAAGGTAGATGGACCTGTAACAGAGTATTTGTTAAATGGATGGGGTCTGTAAAATTAAAGTCCACAGAGCACCTTTTATTTAACCGCCTTCCGCATAAGGAAATGACGGGAGGGTGGCGGTTCTCTTGTTCTGGGAGGATGTCATATGACATCCTCCCACTCTAGCTGCACATGCACACCCCTGGGGGGTGTGTGGCGATTGGTGGTGCGCTGTGTCCCTGGGACACAGCGGATCACCGATCGCAGTAAAGAGCCGATGATGTAGGCTCTATCATGTGATCAGCTGTGTTCAATCACATGTAAATAGGAAATGCCGGTTATCGACAGTTCTCTCTTCACGTTGACAGTGATTGAGAAGAGAGACGGTAAGCTGCATTCCTCAGAGGGGACATGTACACTGGGGGGACCTCCTCCTGCAACATAATTTCATGACTGACTACAGCTATCCGCCAGAGGGAACTTTACTTACTGATTGGTTTGCCTGGAACATCTATTAGTCTATTGATTTTGTCTCACTCACAGCACAACTTTTATGAGGGTGATAGGACTTTTAAGTTTTTAAATTCCTAATTGAAATTGAAGTGGTGAATCTCTGCAACTATATATACAGTCAGGTCCATAAATATTGGGACATTGACACAATTCTAACATTTTTGGCTCTATACACCACCACAATGGATTTGAAATGAAACAAACAAGATGTGCTTTAACTGCAGACTGTCAGATTTAATTTGAGGGTATTTACATCCAAATCAGGTGAACGGTGTAGGTGTATTACAACAGTTTGCATATGTGCCTCCCACTTGTTAAGGGACCAAAAGTAATGGGACAACTGGCTTCTCAGCTGTTCCATGGCCGGCCAGGTGTGTGTTATTCCCTCATTATCCCAATTACAATGAGCAGATAAAAGGTCCAGAGTTCATTTCAAGTGTGCTATTTGCATTTGGAATCTGTTGCTGTCAACTCTCAAGATGAGATCCAAAGAGCTGTCACTATCAGTGAAGCAAGCCATCCTTAGGCTGAAAAAACAAAAACCCATCAGACAGATAGGAAAAACATTAGGCGTGGCCAAAACAACTGTTTGGAACATTCTTAAAAAGAAGGAACGCACCGGTGAGCTCAGCAACACCAAAAGACCCGGAAGACCACGGAAAACAACTGTGGTGGATGACCGAAGAATTCTTTCCCTGGTAAAGAAAACACCCTTCACAACAGTTGGCCAGATCAAGAACACTCTCCAGGAGGTAGGTGTATGTGTGTCAAAGTCAACAATCAAGAGAAGACTTCACCAGAGTGAATACAGAGGGTTCACCACAAGATGTAAACCATTGGTGAGCCTCAAAAACAGGAAGGCCAGATTAGAGTTTGCCAAACAACATCTAAAAAAACCTTCACAGTTCTGGAACAACATCCTATGGACAGATGAGACCAAGATCAACTTGTACCAGAGTGATGGGAAGAGAAGAGTATGGAGAAGGAAAGGAACTGCTCATGATCCTAAGCATATCACCTCATCAGTGAAGCATGGTGGTGGTAGTGTCATGGCGTGGGCATGTATGGCTGCCAATGGAACTGGTTCTCTTCTATTTATTGATGATGTGACTGCTGACAAAAGCAGGTGGATGAATTCTGAAGTGTTTCGGGCAATATTATCTGCTCATATTCAGCCAAATGCTTCAGAACTCATTGGACGCCGCCTCACAGTGCAGATGGACAATGACCCAAAGCATACTGCAAAAGCAACCAAAGAGTTTTTTTAAGGGAAACAAGTGGAATGTTATGCAATGGCCAAGTCAATCACCTGACCTGAATCCGATTGAGCATGCATTTCACTTGCTGAAGACAAAACCGAAGGGAAAATGCCCCAAGAACAAGCAGGAACTGAAGACAGTTGCAGTAGAGGCCTGGCAGAGCATCACCAGGGATGAAACCCAGCGTCTGGTGATGTCTATGCATTCCAGACTTCAGACTGTAATTGACTGCAAAGGATTTGCAACCAAGTATTAAAAAGTGAAAGTTTGATTTATGATTATTATTCTGTCCCATTACTTTGGTCCCTTAACAAGTGGGAGGCACATATGCAAACTGTTGTAATTCCTACACCGTTCACCTGATTTGGATGTAAATACCCTCAAATTAAAGCTGACAGTCTGCAGTTAAAGCACATCTTGTTCGTTTCATTTCAAATCCATTGTGGTGGTGTATAGAGCCAAAAATGTTAGAATTGTGTTGATGTCCCAATATTTATGGACCTGACTGTATATGACTGAGAATTATGTAATCTCGATTGATTCTAACATTGATTTACATGCATGATTTCATCTATTTAGGATTAGTTATTCCTCTATTTGCTATGTCTGTGCTCCGCCCCCACACATCTCCTTTACCAGGTCATATGGGATGACTTTATGCTGGTGAATGTGAGCCTTGTGATATACCATTTGGGGATTGACATCTTACAATTTTACATCTTTCCCGGACTTTCCTAGTTTTAAGTGACAACGTTGTCATATGTTAACGGTGATGGGTGGAGACCATTTTAAATTCTTGTACATGCTTGTGCATATGTGTTATATGTGAATCAATAAAGGTTTTTAGTATCGTTAAAAACTACCCGAGTACCTTCTTTTTTTTATGGGGGCTCTCCTCCGTATATATTTCTAAACAAGTGGTTATTAGCTGAGCCATAACTGCAGCCATAGCCTTGACTAACTGGGATATAGTGGAAGAGCTTTTGTACACGTCTCTCCACCCTTTGATTAAATGTGCTAATATAATACAAAGTACCAACTTATTATTCAGTGCAATATAATATATACAGAATCTGTATCCAAAAATCCAATTTATGCACGTGGGTCCAAAAAATGTTACACAGTAAAAAAAGAAATGCAAAAGATTCAACAAAAAGCCACTCTGCAACCACATAAAGCCCAACTCCATGCACAGCTATTATATTTTGTTATTTTATGTTTATATCTTTGATACTGGCAATTAAACCATTTTTTTCGTGGGGGTCTATGACAGACACCAGTTCCTTTTCATATATATATATATTTGTTACTGAAAATGTATATTTTATTCTATTGCTCACTAAACAGCAATTTTCTGCTTTCCTTCCAGATGAAGATTCATTCCCCGTCCCCCCATAAGCAAGTCCCAGCAAAGTGCAATGATTATTTCTATAACTATTTTACGCTGGGTGTGGTGAGTATAAACTCTCTTTTATGTGCAGTCTTTATTTGTAGCAATATAAATATGATACTCTTGTACAAATTTAACATGGTAGGTATATTAAGTGTAAGTAAACTCTAGCAATTAACTTATTTGATCCCTTTTAAGTGTGTTTGTTTATTATACCAAACAAGTGTAGTTTTTTGTTATATCTGCTTAATAAGTGCAAAAAACAAATTGATTTTTGTTGAAAACAAAATCCTGTCTTCTGCACATGTCCTGTGTTATCTTAACCTCCCTAGCGGTATTCCCGAGTGTAGCTCGGGGTAAAATGTCAGTACCAAAAGCGGTAACCCCGAGCTACACTCGGGCTTACCATGCGGCGCTGCATAGGGAGTCCCTGCATAGCTTACCTTGTCCTTCGCTCCCGCGATGTGTCCCCTGCAGCGTCCCCGGCCATCTCCTCTGGCCGATGCCAGCATCTGGCTTCTGTGTTCCGGTCCCTGTGACGTCGGGACGTACGGGCTCCGCTGGCAGCGGGAAATTTGAAGATTTTAAAAAATGTCATTTTTTTTTCCAAACAAATTTTACATAGTAAAACATTGCTGTTTCAACCCATTTCACATACATTTTGTCCCGAGTGCTTTGTCCTGTGCCCTGCCTGCATTTTGTCTGTTCTTTCTGCCTGGAAACTGAGAAAAGTCCATGGCATCCAAAAAGCGTCCCTTTAGGTCAAAAGTGGTTTTAGACCGGCTAGAGAACAGCGATAGTAAATCAGAACCACTTGCAGAATTGAGTGATAATGATTCGTGGGGAAATTTGTCATCAGACACTGAAAACGATTTTGCGACTGTACGAACTTGGCGCTCTATTTCAAATTTCAGTGTTTTTGGTTTGATTATATTATTGAATTAAATGTATTATTATATTATTATTTTTTATGATTATTTATTAAATTATAATTTATGATTTCGTGTTTCAAATTTTATCATACCCGGGATGTTTAATAGACTCTTGTTCGGACAGATTTCAGTGAATTATTCCTAAAAATTACAGCCTACAATAAAAAAATACATATTTCCTTGCAAAATAATGGTACCGCTTTCAGCACCAAAAATCTGAAATAATCATACCGCCAGGGAGGTTAAAGAGCCTTCCTGCTTCTTGTCTTGGACTATAGATCAATGAGCCATTACATTTGTTGTAGTTTATTAATAGACATGTGGGAGGGATGACACCACTAATTCCCAAAAATAATGTGTTGAAAGCTCCAACAGGACAAAAGAGCTGACTGTATTTCTGTTAAACAGGTATTTTTCTGTACCTGCAGGGTCTAAAAGGGATCAAACAGGGGAAATGTGTATGTATTGTAGAGTTGTAGAAATCTACAGCATTTGTTGTGTTTTTTGTTTTTTTTTTTTTGCCTGGAGAAAGACTGGTTAGAAAAGTGTTCCTTATGAGAGAATACTATACAGAAATAAAGGCTGTCTGTTTGTATTTTTGTTTTTCTAGACTTACCAACTACTTTTTGATTTGAAGCTTAATGAAATCTCACCAGAAATTGTCAGATTTCATTGAAACCAGGGTTTTGTCTTGGGGCCATTGCTGTTTAGTTTGTTTATAATGATATAGAGCAGTGATCTCCAAACTGCACCCTGAGGTCCAGTTGCAGACCTTTGCTTGCCTTTATCTGGCCTTCGCCACTTTATTGACCCCACCATTCCCTTCACTGACCAACCATTGATACCAAAGATGGGGAACTATTCTGACACCAACGATGGGGCACTATTCTTCTCCTACTGACCACAGTACACTTATCCCAAGCCTGAAGCATTGTTTACTCCCACTGATGCTGTGACACCTTTTACTCCTACCGGTCACAGTCCGTCCTCTCTAAAGTCTGAAAGACAGTAAACTGGCCCTTTTGTTTACAAAGTTTGGAGAACCCTGCTATAGAGGTTGGAATTGGGAGCTCAGTTTCAGGGTTTGCTGATGATACTTAATTATTCAGGGAAATAACTTCAGCGCAGGATGTAGCATCATTACAGGAAGACCTTGCCAAAAATTAGGGGATTGGGCAGATGAGGTTCAATATTGAGATATATGAGAAAGATGAGTTGCATTAGAGGGGTTATAATTACAATGCAGAAATATCTCAAAGGTGACTCCAGTGACTGTAATAAACTGTTTATTCTAAGGTCCCTAAAGAGTACACGTGGCCTTGATTTAAGGTTAGAAGAAAGGAGGTTTACCCTTAGATTGAGGAAAGGGTTACTCCCTCCCTCATGAAGTGGTATTAGCTGAGTGTGTCAACAACTAGAAGTCTTCCCCTGGAAGAACATACAGGGCTTTGGAAATTGTTAGAAAACACACACACACACTCTCTCTCTCGACCACTCTCTCTCTCTCGCTCGACCTCTCTCTCTCTCTCTCTCTCTCTCTCGACCTCTCTCGACGACCTCTCTCTCTCTCTCTCGACTCTCTCTCGAACTACTCTCTCTCTCTCTCGAACCTCTCTCTCTCTCTCTCTCAGACCTCTCTCTCTCGACCTCTCTCCTCTCTCTCTCTCCCCTCTCCCCTCTCTCTCTCTCTCCTCTCTCTCGAGACTCCCTCTCTCTCTCTCTCTCGACCTCTCTCTCTCTCTCTCTCGACCTCTCTCTCGACCTCTCTCTCTCTCTCTCTCGACTCTCTCTCTCTCTCTCTCTCTCTCGACCTCTCTCTCTCTCTCTCTCTCTCTCGACCAACCTCTCTCTCTCTCTCTCTCTCTCTCTCTCTCTTTCGCTCTCTCTCTCGACCTGTGTCTTTTTTCAACTGTATAAACTATATAAGCATACAAGCAATGCACTCATAAAGTTTGAGAGTTTGGTTTGATGTACCAACAGATTGCTATATATTTCACTTCAGTCTGTTTGTTGTCTTTTTAATTACCCATATCATAACTAGACTGACGGTAATTATTTCCACTTCATATACACAAGTGTTTGGAATCATCCAGACTTTTTAATGCTTTTGATAGCACTTCATATTTTATTCACCAAGCTAGCATTACATTGATTAGAAATTTAAAGTCAATAAACTAACAATGTTAATAAATTGTTTTTATTCCATATCATCCTTATCAGACATTCATTTCTTTTAGATTCATCAAATAATCCTCATTTGCTGCTAGTACAGCTTTGAATTTTTTTTTCATGTGCTCCACCCAGTATCGTCTTTTACCTAGTTGCACTGTTTCTTTTTTATTTGTTGGTTTCAAATGTGGCATTTTTTTTTAACCTCTTTGTAATAAAACCAACAGCTTGGAGATGACACTGGTATTTAATGTGTGCTGTTGAGCTTAACACTTTTCAAGCATGTCATTTGAGTGTAAATAGGAAATAATTTTGTAGCTAGGGTTAAAGAGGAACTTTTCCCATAACAACTTTATATTTTAATGTTCTTTAGCAAGGAACATACTTTCCACATTATCAATTATGTTACCAAAATTAGTGTGCTGTAAATTGCCTCCAGCATTGTTCCTGTTTCTTCTTTCTGGGGTGCTGCAATTTTGCTGAAGCCCAGAGCCCCTGAGCGGCAGTAAATCTTTAGGCTGTCAGCAAATTGGCCTTTAGTGGATTTTAAAACAGTATAGGCACTTATTTGTAATGTTTTACGTAGCTGCACCTGCAAAAAGGGCCAGCCTGAAGTGACTTTAGCAGCCTTTATTCTGCGGTTCAAATCAGAACGTCAGGTAATGTGTAAAAAAAAAAATAAAAAAAAATAAAAATAATGAGTTTAGTTATACATTCCTTAAACAGTGTGTTTGCACAATGTAATAAATGTATTATTTTTAACATAGATCTGGTTACTTCTGTTTATCTTGTCAACAAGCTTCTGTAAGACCCTGCAGAGCAAACCAGGAAAAGGTAGATGCCTCACATTGAGCCTGATGGGGATCTATTACTTTTCTAAGTCTTCAGTCTAATACCATGAACATGCTTACAGGATAGGTGAACAAAGTGATGACCTCTTCAGTATGCTTTTTGTTCCTTTGCAGTCCAGTCACAGGTTGCTTAACTAAAGTGTAGTGTGGAAGAGCAGGCTATGCTTTCAGGATCACAAGACTGGCTGAAAAGAATTGCAGATCCTTTAGCACAATGTTTCTCTGCCCTTTTTTAGTCAAGGCACTCTTTAACATTCTGCACAATCTCAAGGCACCCCATTCTAAAATGTAAAAAACTATTTTTACTCGTCCAGTACACCCAACGTTAGAGGTGATAATGAATTAAAAACTCATAAATTTCCCACATGAAAAGTCAAACCTTCACCCTTGAAAGTGCAAAAACCAATAACCTTTTCATAAACCAATACCATAAACTCATATATTTTAATGTCCATCACAAGTCCCATACAAAAATAAAAAAAAAAAATATAAAGTCCCAAAAAACTCATAAAGTTATAAATTGTGCAAATGATACTCCTCACTTCTTTCAATCTTCCAAAATGTGATAATGTCCAAATCTTCCCTTTAATCCAAACAGTACCTCAAAAAAAAATAAACTAAATATGGTGCATTATCCTTTAGAATCAATATTGTGATAGCATGCAACACACTAGTGACACAACATCACACATGTGAAATAAAAGACACAACACAACACACAACACACCACTATAGTGGTCCTACAATACCACCACTGCAAAACGTGACACTCTTCAAAGCACACTAAATGATCAGTGACAAAAAGTGTCAAATACGTGCCACTCCACGTGTAGGATAAATATACAGTTACCCCCTTAGACTTTGTGCCACATATAGTTGCCTTCACTGGGGGTGTGTGTCATCCTTAACAGTAGTGGCAATACAGATTCCTCGCACAATGACGGGATGAGATCCCCGTTCCTCACAGAAGAAATGGAGCAGACTTTATATTTTTATTTTTATTTATTGTATGGGACTTGTGATGGACATTAATTTGTATATATGAGTTTATGGTATTTGGTTTATGAAAAGAGGTTATTGGTCAACGTTAGAGGTGATTTATTTTTCAAAAGCAAATACACATTTGCACACTGGTACCGACTAGTATGTTTTTCTCTTATGCAGGCCATAGATGGGTCGAAAATCGGCCGATTTTTCGGCCCGAAAATAAAATTGGCCGATTTTCGGATCGTTAGTGGGCTATTTGCTCGGATGATTTCGGTATTTTGGCAGATTTTTTTTTATCGGTAAAGTGATGATGAAAAAAAATCGGCCGATTTTGCCGATCGGCCCGATGATTCGCGGAATGATGGAGCAAATCGGCCGATGATTTTATACCGATGAAGAAAAGGATGAGCAGTGACCTGCAAGAGGAAGACAAAAAGAAGAAAAAGAAGAAGAGGATGATGATGAAGAAGATGAGGATGATGATGAGGATGATGATGAAGAAGAGGATGATGATGAAGAGGATGATGATGATGATGAAGAGGATGATGATGAAGAAGGATGATGATGATGAATGAAGAAGAGGATGAAGATGATGAAGAAGAAGAGGATGATGAAGAAGAAGAGGATGATGAAGATGAAGAAGAGGATGATGATGATGAAGAAGAGGATGATGATGAAGAAGAAGAGGATGATGATGATGAAGAAGAGAAGAGGAAGAAGATGAAAAATAAGAGGAATTCCAGTACGGCAAAAAGTGTCCCTGCAGAGAGCTCCGCTATTTCTTTGACAGTTCTTTGACAGTTCCTTGACATTTACAGCGGTTGCAACATTGTATCTGTTTCCGAATAAAAACATCTGTATCCTAAATGGATACAAATAGATACATTGTTGCAACCGCTGTAAATGTCAAGGAACTGTCAAAGAAATAGCAGAGCTCTCTGCAGGGACACTTTTTGCCGGCTGTAGACGGGATGAAAATCGGCCGTTTTTTTTTTTTTTTTTTTTTTTTACACCATTGCTGGTAACGTCGGCCGCTTGAACAACCCATTTTTCGTTTTTTAAAAGAAAAATCGGCCGTTTTTCTCCCCGTCTATGGCCTGCATTAGTTTCTCTCCCTCACTCTGCTAATGTGACCCCAGTTCTGACGGAGAGGGTCAGGGGAGGGGCAAACAAGGATCATGTGCACTACCCCATGTCCTCCTTATCAGCTGATGATATCATTGGTTGTTAGGATGCAGGCAGCTAGAAGGTCATAAAAGTGCACAATGAAAACCCAGTGACTTTGTTTACTTAAAGTCCAGATTGATCCACCTGCTGGCTTGTATACAACTTTTGGGCATTTTGCCAAGGAACCCTTGAAAAAGCCTGAAGGCACCCCAGAGTGCCTGGGAACCTTGGTTGAAAAAGGCTGATTTGGCATATAAAAAGAGTCCATATATTTGTATTTTGAAGGTGTATTTAGTTATATGTGTTGAATTCAGTGATAAAGGTATGTTTCCTGCATAGGGTTTGCCTTGTCCTGTGAAGCATTAGTGCACCTTGTAACACACTCTTGCTTACTAGAACAGCTGCACAGTGTTTGGTTCTCCTGACTGCTTATTGGACTGGATTGGTATGTCTATTTAAACTCCATACTGTAGCTTGAATCAGAATTAATCCTTGCTTGTGTCTCATTTGCAGGATATTCTTTTTGATGCAAATACCCACAGGGCCAAGAAGTTTGTTTTGCATACAAATTATCCTGGACATTACAACTTCAATATGTGAGTTGATCTGTGACTAATAGTCATTTGTAACCAGTTTAAAAAAGAATTGCATATTTGTTTCTGCCATACTGTATGTAGATTGGATACATAATTTCATTAATAAGATTTCTTCTCTAAATCTGATTAGACTTTTTCAAGATACTGCCTTAAACTGTTACTAAACCCAGGACCCTGCATTCACTATATTCGGTCTTCCACAGTACACAGAACATGGAAGTGCAATTATTTTAGTAAATATAAACTGCTAAATATCTTTTCTCATCAGCAAAATATAGCAGTCTTGTGACTTCTATCGGTATTGGCTGAGCATTGGTTAATCTTGTAGGAAGAGTTTTCATTCTCCTCTTACTGTCCTGTGAGGCCTCATGACCCTTGACCATCTGTCTGGACAGCACTGGCCCTGTGCTGATCACATGCACCGTCCTAAAACAAAAACAGAAAAAAATAGCAATACACACTAAACTGAGCAGAATTACCGCTGCTGCTCTGTACTGTGACAGATTAATTGGGGACAGTAAAAGAAGGGGGGAGGTTCAGAGAAGACAGGATCGATTAAATCAACCCCTTAGTTTCCACAGTGAGTATAACAAGCATGCTTTACTGCATTTACAGACTAATTTTACTGTTGTGGGTTTAGTAACACTTTAAAGAAGAAGTACAGCCAAAGGTCTTTTCGTTCGTCCTGCACTCCTGTGGTCTGTTTTCAGCTGACAGCAGACTGAAGCTTGCTGTCTGCTGATGTCACTCAGGCTCCGATCCAGGCTGGGGAAAGATCCACCTCCAGAGTCTGGAATGAGCTGCTGAGAGCCTGAGCCAGCTGCTCCCTCCACCTCCACAGCCCAGCACGCCAGTGAGCGGGGTGGGGAGGGGGGGTCTGAGCAGAGAGCGGTGACTGACAGTTCTGCTCTCTACTCAGAGCAGAGAGGAGAACTCAGCGGTCATGTGATCGCTGAGTTCTCACCCTTACACCCTTAGAGCTGGTGGGGTACAGATGCAGCATCGGACCAATGCTGCATCCACCTAGGTAAGTGTACTGGGGAAAAAAAAACAAACAAACAATACTTTTCCTTTAAGCAGGTAATAGATGACACAATTTTCTTTCCTTCCACCACGGATGGGAGGAAACAAAATCACTTGATCAGCACTGACTGTGTTGATGGGGGAATGCTTCCCGCTGAGCAATTGTGTTCTGCTGATGTGGAGCCTTCCCGGACTGGCAGTGTGCAATTGTCACCGCTGGCGGCAATAACATAAAAAAATTTCAGCAGACTGGTTGTACTGAAGTCAGTCGATGGATTGTCTTCAGTACAAACAGCCTGCCTATAGAGGTTCGAATCAAGGCCAGTCTCTGCTGAACTGACCAAGATTCGATCCATCTATTGCCGGCTATAAGCATGGAGCAGGGATAGGAAAAATTGTTTTCTTAATTATTAGAAATGTGTATTGTTGTAACAATGGATTGCTCCCATTGTGTATAGATAGATGATAGACAACCTTTATTGGGTGTAAGCTTTAAATAATAAAGCCAGAGGTTTAAATAGATTTTCTTTTGGAATAGTTGCTACCATTGTTTGCATCATCTGGTCCCACATCTCTTGACTGGTACCTGCCTTTATCCTGCAGCTAGAATATGGGAAGGCAGGGGCTGTGTCAGGTTGGCTAGACTAAAATAGATCCCACCTTTCCACATCCCAACTAAAGATTAGAGATGGGAGCTGAGGAAGCAGTATGAAGCTGGAAGATATAAAAAGATGTCACGACCCACAGGTCCGTATGGTTTTAGGATGGCTTTACAGCAATAAGCACTCTTGCTTTTTAACCCATGACTCTAAATAACTTGACCAATTTTCAGCCCCAAAAAGTTCTTTAAAAAGACACTGTAAGGTGTATACAAAATACCCAGAGCTACAAGATTCCTTCCAAAGACCTAATATACCAAAGAACCCTTGTAATATGGTACGAAAAAAATATAAAAATCATGCCTTTTTTATTTTTTATTTTTTTCAGGTCATGGTTCTCTATTGTTTTTAGTCTGTCGTAACAATTTTTTTAACATATAGAAGTAAACGCTACAATAAATTCACAAACTCATTTGATGTTGTTCCCAGCTTCAAGAGAGTGAACGGCACCCCTAATCTATTGGTGCAACAAACAAAGTCCAACATTATTCAGATGTTGAGAGTGCAGGGTATTATCCAAGTCCTGCCTAGTAAAAAATCATAATGATGTATGGGTGATCTGGCTCGAACATACTTGCTTGGGAAAAATAGTTCAGTTGTACAGCAGTAATTCCCTCAAGAAACCTCTGCCAAGTGTGCGCTTCAGATATGTGTAAAGCCCATAAGATATTCCACCAAGAGCATGCTTGTTCAATATTTCACATGGTTGTCCTCCACTTTGCAAGTCCTAATAGTAGAAAGTCTCATATACTGTACATGAGAGGACTTGCAAAAGTGTAGTCATCTCTGGTAACCCCAGATCACGTATCTCTGGTATGATGGAGTTGCTGTCAGCCACATACACGCCAGCAGTTCTAGTGTCTCTTAAATCATAAATTATACCAGTCTGTTGGTTGAATGAATATTGATAAAATATTAATGTTACTGCATCCAGCCATACATAATGTAACTGGATCCATCCATCCATCCATACATAATGTATGCATAGAATTCAGCAGATAATCCTTTTTAAAAAAACTGTTAAGATCTTACAATGCAGTTGGGACAATGTCCAGTTATCTCCCTATGTAAATGTGACAAGTGTTTGGTACGAAAACTTCTGTCCATCCATATAGATGTCAAATAATCTGTCTCTGAAACAGCTGTCAGTGCCAGACAAACAGAATAGAAGTGAGAAAATGATTCATGACAAGGGACCTGGTGGGCACCTATATACAGCTAAAGTATAGAATTTTCAACACAGTTGAATAGTAGATTAGGTGTGCCCCAATTCTGCATATTAAATGTTTACAATCTTAATATATCCTGAGCTTACTGCAGTCTTTGTTATATGCATACACATTGTTTTTATATTACGAGCCTATATACACTCTATGTGGACACCCCTGCAAATGGATTTCGGGTGTTTTCAGTGAAGGGTATTGTTGATGCTCCAGCATGGAAAGTCATTTTAGCCAACTGTGGGCTTCCAAGTACATAGTATAAAAGTTGGCACAGAAATTACTTAAAAGTCCTTTTTTGCCCCAATAGACAGCAGTTTTTTGGAAAATTTGTGGTGGTGGTAGATGACCACAGTTAGTACAACTGCTGCATCTATCTATATTAGGACCTTTTGGTGTTTCTGCGAAGTGTACAGGTGAAACTCAAAAAATTAGAATATTGTGCAAAAGTTCATTTATTTCAGTAATGCAACTTAAAAGGTGAAACTAATATATGAGACTCATTACATGCAAAGCAAGATAGTTCAAGCCATGATTTGTCATACTTGTGATGATTATGGCTTACAGCTCATGAAAACCCCAAATCCACAATCTCAGAAAATTAGAATATTGTGAAAAGGTGCAATATTCTAGGCTCAAAGTGTCCCACTCTAATCAGCTAATTAAGCCGTAACACCTGCAAAGGGTTCCTGAGCCTTTAAATGGTCTCTCAGTCTGGTTCAGTAGGAATCACAATCATGGGAAAGACTACTGACCTGAAAGTTGTGCAGAAAACCATCATTGACACCCTCCATAAGGAGGGAAATCCTCAAAAGGTAATTGCAAAAGAAGTTGGATGTTCCCAAAGTGCTGTATCAAAGCACATTAATAGAAAATTATGTGGAAGGCAAAAGTGTGGAAGAAAAGGTGCACAAGCAGCAGGGATGACCGCAGCCTGGAGAGGATTGTCAGGAAAAGGCCATTCAAAAGTGTTGGGGACTTTCACAAGGAGTGGACTGACTGAGGCTGGAGTCAGTGCATCAAGAGCTACCACACACAGACGGATCCTGGACATGGGTTTCAAATGTCGTATTCCTCTTGTCAAGCAGCTCCTGAACAACAAACAACGTCAGAAGCATCTTACTTGGGCTAAAGAAAAACGGACCTGGTCTGTTGCTCAGTGGTCCAAAGTCCTCTTTTCTGATGATGAGAGCAACTTTTGCATCTCATTTGGAAACCAAGGACCCAGAGTATGGAGGAAAAATGGAGAGGCGCACACTGCAAGATGCTTGAAGTCCAGTGTGAAGTTTCCACAGTCTGTGTTGATTTGGGGAGCCATGTCATCTGCTGGTGTTGGTCCACTGTACTTCATTAAGTCCAGGGTCAACGCAGCCGTCTACCAGGAGATTTTGGAGCACTTCATGCTTCCTTCCGCAGACGAGCTTTATGGGGATGCTGACTTCATTTTCCAGCAGGACTTGGCATCTGCCCACACTGCCAAAAGCACCAAAACCAGGTTCAATGACCGTGGGATTACTGTGCTTGATTGGCCAGCAAACTCGCCTGACCTGAACCCCATAGAGAATCTATGGGGCATTGCCAAGAGAAAGATGAGACATGAGACCGAACAATTCAGAAGAGCTGAAGGCTGCTATTGAAGCATCCTGGTCTTCCATAATACCTCAGCAGTGCCACAGGCTGATAGCTTCCATGCCACACCGCATTGAGGCAGTAATTGCTGCAAAAGGGGCCCAAACCAAGTACTGAGTACATATGCATGCTTCTACTTTTCAGAGATCTGATATTGTTCTATGTACAATCCTTGTTTTATTGATTGCATGTAATATTCTAATTTTCTGAGATTGTGGATTTGGGGTTTTCATGAGCTGTAAGCCATAATCATCACAATTCTGACAAATCACGGCTTGAACGATCTTGCTTTGCATGTAATGAGTCTATCTCCTATATTAGTTTCACCTTTTAAGTTGCGTTACTGAAATAAATGAACTTTTGCACAATATTCAAATTTTTTCAAGTTTCACCTGTATATGGGGAAAGAAAGATAGTGAGAAAGAGAATGTGCGCACGCTCCACCTTCTAAGTGTAGTTACTTAATATGCCGGTCACGTCATGTTACACAGTGAGTTCATATATTGTATATATGACTTTATTGCTTTATCAATAAACTACACTTACATGGCACCCTCCCTCTCTCTTTCTTCACCAGTGTGCATCCAGGGTTGTGGTAATAATTTGGGGAAGGTCTTCTTTTATTCCAGCATGGCTGTACCCTTTTGCACAAAGCTAGCTCCATAAAGATGTGGGATGATAAGTTTTGGTGTGGAGAAAGTTGTGGCCTCCACAGAGCTCTGATCTAAACCCTGAAGCCCTGAACTCAATTGAGCACCTTAGGAATTGTTACAGCAAGCCAAGGCTGTGTGTCCGACATCAGTGCCTGACCTCATAAGTGATCTTTTGGCTGAATGGACAATAATTCCAACAGGCAACTTCTTGAGAAGGGGAGCGGGGGACTCCACATTAATGACAATGGTCTTGAAAACAGAACATCCATCAGGCTCATATAGGTGTGATGGTCAAGTGTCCTCAAACATTTGGCCATATATTGTATGTTAAATCAAAGTTTTTTTTTGCTTGTGCACCCCTGTGATTGAATGCTGTAGATGACACCTCTTTATTTTCATTAGATTGTTGCTGTCATATTTCAGCTTGTCATATCACAGTATTTGATTCTTGTGTTATGTGAAACTTATATAACTTTTTTCTGTTTTAGTTATCATCGTTGTGACTTTCGGATTCCGCTAACTGTGAAGAGAGGTGAGGTTAATAGGTTTAATGCATGTTTCACAGCAATGTTAACTATGACTGCTTTCTGTCCATGTTGCCATGCTGTAGAAGATGACACGGTTTTCTGTTATTCTTTGTACAGGCAGGTCAGAAACACAAACAGAAATCTGCACCACATACAGTAAGGTGAGATACCATTCTTTACAGTTGGTCCACCCAAACCTGATGTTTCGTGCTAGGCTGATGCTGGCTGAATTACATATTGGCTTTTTATATTTCTTGGATGTGTATGGAGGAGTTCCTTGTACAAAAATTCATCTCCCTTGAAGGACTTTTTGAAACATTTAATGGTTGCAAGCATCAAATAAACCCAACACGTTTCAGATGAAAAGCCTCCCTTTTCTTCAGGGCTAACGTACAAAAAAAAAAAAAAAACAATAAAAAGTAAAACACATTATGATTATCTCATGTAAACAATATAGTAATACAAGTCCATGAAATGCAAATGTCAAAATTGTCAATCAAAACAATCTGACAAACAAGATGATTCAATACTCTTATAAATTATAATGCATAATAAAGACTCCCTTATAGATTGCATCATTTCTGTGATGTCAGAAAGAATGAGGATTGTGATCTCCGTGCAGCATTAACAGACAGGCGTAAAGACTTGGGGGTGGGGGGAATAAATACAGCCACACTATACCAGCAACTAAAGGAAAGAGCTTTGACAGAGTTCTAGCATAGTATATCAGTTGGAAATGGAAAACTGCCAACCATAGATTGACAGTGATTTGTAGGTAAGCAGTATTTGGCCATCTTTTACATGCTGTGTCTCTTCAATTCTCATAAATAGTGCGTAATGGTTGCTTTACAGAATTTCTTCCTTCTTGTGTTACGTATGCATCGCTTCATGCAGCAGAGCTGACAGAAAATGAGTCCTCTGGTAGTCAAGGGAGGTTAGGTTGGTGCTGACTTTAGGACCACTGCACACACAAAAAAAAAAAACATATATAGCTGATTTACAATACATGCCTTCAACAACTGGGAGGGGGTTTTTGTTCTGTTACCTGTATAAATGTCTATTACTGAGTTTGTGCGGGAGGATCGCGGTTGTGCTGGATATATTGTTGTTGTTCTTATAGAGTAGTATAAAATAACCATGACTGCCATATCTGTCTGTTTTGAAATGGGAGTGTATCTCCTATGCTACTCCAACTCAAAAGTATGCTCTGAATAATTATTTCACAGTTAATAACAATAAAGTGCACAAAATATATCTAAAAAGTTGTCCTACTTCCATCAGAAACTTTTCACAATTTACCACATTTGCACGTGAGATCCCCTCAGGAAGAAACTCACTGGAGCAAATTGGCACCCATTTTCATGACTGGAATAAACCGTTTTGTGTTAATAAACACAGATCGCTAGTTATGACACTCGATTACTCCTCCATCTGGCTCAGATAGCTGTAAACTACTACACTATTACTACATAGTAGTAAAACCATCCACATTTCTTTTTATTATTAAAAAAAAACACTCACAAAGTTAAAAACAAATGTTTTTCACATAATCAATGTGGCATCAAGCAATGCTTTATAGTGGTCGCATCAATGTCTCATGATCTCTAGAAACCTCAGGGCCCTTACTCCATGTTACTTCAGGTTCCGGCTCTGATATCACTTTTGTTTGCTCCGTAGCCATGCCCGACATGTTTCGCCTTACAATTTTATCAACGACATGACTGTAATATGTATATACAAACATAATCAATATAATAAAAGCATATTGTGCCTCTTAAGAGAAGATAATGTACAAATGTAATTCTGGTTCTCTTTAGATACCTGAAATTTAGAGTTGATTAGAAACTTTAAAATTAACTTGTGCTCAGATCATGCCTATTAAAGCATTTACAATTTCTGAACAAACAGTAAAAGCACTGAGTTCAATATACAAGCATTGAAACCTTAGATATTTTCTATGACAGGAGATATAGGCAGGCTGTCAGCCCTCTGATGTAAACAGCCAAACTGAATGAACCCAACTTTAAAGTGATTTTTTTTTTTTGTAAAAGAGCAAACATGTCTATACTATCTGCCCTGTACAGTGGTTTTGCACAGAGCAGCCTGGATCCTGTCTCGGGTCCCCGCAGGCTCTCTGCTGCTTTTTTCTGTCGGGTGCCCCCAGAGCAAGCAGCTAAGAATTTATATAATTTTTATAGAAAAGGATCGCCCCCCTTTAAAATCACAGCTTGTTGCTTTTGCAGCCTGAAATTAAAACAGACATAGTTTTTGCTTTATCCAGCTGTGCAACTTATAACATCCAAGTGAAAGATATAACACCACCATGTCAGAAAAAAATTCAAAAACCGTTCCATTGAGTTGGAAAAAGAATCACCCCCTCTTTAAAAATGACTTTTAAACTCAATCAGGCGTAGCTAATCACCTTCTCAATGCCACACAAAGCCATTTGACTTTCAACTGTGATCAGCTGTGGTCATTTTGATTAGCTCAGCATGAAAAGAGCTTTCCTGGAGCATTTCAGTCCCTGGTATTGGATCTCCAGGATAAAGTTGTGGACAGGCACAAATCAGGAGATAGATACAAAAACATTTAAAGGCTTTATCAATGCCTAGAAGCACAGTGAAGTCTATTCTTAAAAAGTGGAAGGTATTTGGTACAACACAGACCCTCCCTTGATCTGAACATTGCTCCAAACTGGATGAAAGCGCCAGGAAGAAACTGGTCAGAGAGGCTACCAAGAGGCCTTCAGCAACTCTGAAGCAGTTGCAGGAATTGATGACAGTGGTCATTGTGTGCATGTGACAATATCACAAATTCTCCACAAATGTGGCTTGTATGGAAGGGTTGTAAGAAAAAAAGCCACTCCTCAAACGCCATATATAGTCATGACTGAGCTTTGTAAAAACGCACCTTGAAGATTCTGAGGCCACATGGAAAAAGGTGTTCTAATCAGATGAGACTAAAATTTAATTATTTGGCCTCGACGCTAAACGATATGTCTTACGGAAATCCAAGACAGGTCCCATCACACCACCCAAATAATGCCATTCCTACAGTAAAGCATGGAGGTGGTAATATCCTGTTATGGGGGTGTTTCACTGCAGCAGGGACTGGAGCACTTGTCAGGATAGAAGGAAAAATGGGTGGGACAAAATACCATCAAATTCTTGAGGAAAATCTACTGCCCTCTGCCAGAAAGTTGTCAATAGGAAGAAGGTTTACTTTCCAACATGACAATGAACCAAAGCACACAGCAAAAATGACCACACAGTGGTTGAAGGAGAAAAAGGTGAATGTCCCTCGTATGGCTTAGTCAGAGCCCAGATTTAAAGCAGAGTTCCACTCACCCTGTCAAAAAATAAGTCAACAGCTACAAAAACTGTAGCTGCTGACTTTTAAAAAACAGACACTTACCTGTCCCTCGGTCCCGTGGTGTGTCCCCCACAGCCCATTTCACCGGCCGTCCTGTATTCTAGGAGGCCGGCTTTTTCAGTGTGGGCACCCGGCTGTGATCGCTTGCGGCTTCACAGCCGGGTACCCACTGTGCATGCGCGAGTAGCACTGCACTTCATGAATGGTCCTGTAGTCTTCTGGGACCTGTCACGTGTCCCAAAAGACTACAGAGTGGGAGGGAGGGAGGACACCTTCCGTTTCCCATCGCCTAAGAGATCAGACCGGAAGTGGGAGTGGGTACCCTGTCAAATTTGGATACCCGCCCTCCAAAGGTGCCAATCCTTAATGGGGAGCAGTCCTTAAAGCGGAACTTCCCCTTTTGGGTGGAGCTCCGCTTTTAAACCCATTGAAAATCTGTGGAATGACTTGAAGACTGCAGTCCACAAACGGTCACCTTCAAATTTATCTGAACTTGAGCTGTCCTGCAAAGAGTGGGCAAATATTGCAAAGTCTAGATGTTCAAAGCTAGTAGAGACATATCCCAGCAGACTAAATGCTGTAATTAAAGCACAAGCTGCTTCAACAAAATACTGACACAAGGGGGTGATCCTTTTTCCAACTCAGTGATTCTGTTTTTGAATTTTTTTTTTTTCTGACATGTTGGTGTTTATATCTCTTACTTGGATGTTATAAGTTGCACTTACTAAATATAGCTGGATAAAACAAAAATTGTGTCTTGTCTTCATTTCAGGCTGCAAAGCAATAAAATGTGATTATTTTAAAGGGGGTAGTTCTTTTCTATACCCACTGTAGTTAGGCAAGCAAGAGGTTGCTTTAAAACTTTTACTGCTTGTGAAGAATGTGAAAACAATTTAATGTCCATAGTCTGGGTGCAGGTGAACTGTAAGAATAGTATTTGTCTAATTCCCTGTGTGTGTATTGCAGTGGGACAGTATTCAAGAACATCTAGGGCACCCAGTGGAGAAGCCAGTTGTCCTTCACAGGTAAATGTCTGAATATTTGACCACCCTGCAATGTTTATGGGTAGCTGTTTTCTTCATGAAACACTTTTGACGTTCTCTATTTAGCAGGGTTCACACTATCTCATTTGTTAACAGGCATGTGTGCTCTGCAATGCCATTCATTTTACTTGTCACCCCAACACACTAAGACAACCCACCTGTACAGTAGCAATGCACTGCCATGTATTGCATTTCCGCCACACCGGGCTGCATTGGCAGCCCATTTAAAATGAACGCGCAACATAACACGCGTTAATGCATTGGACTTGTGTGAACACGACCTTAGTTTAAATACCGAATTTGTGACTCGAGAGTGTCTTTTAACATGGTAGGTTTTTTTTTTTTCAGAGGCATTGTATTATGTTTGAAGCTTGTGAAAAGGGTTTGTTCTTGGCAGCATTTCATTTTTTTCTAGGGGGTCCCTGCTGGCATTGCTGGTTGGGTATCCAGTTGGAGTTTATTCATAAGACCCCTGCAGGTCTCTAGCTGAAGAAGCCCCTGTAGGTGTCCACAAAACACATCTCTGCAGCTACAAATTGCTGATTTAAGATGCAGTACACTGGACTACGTTAAGTAAAACCTGCACGTTTACTGTCAGACCTTGGCAAACTGAATTACTTAGCAACAGTACTGAACAGTTGCTAAGAAGTGGCAGTTCTATCGATTGCAATTGGTTTTCAACACAACAAAAATGCTCGTCTTAGGAAAGGGGATTTACGTTACTGCTACCGGTATAAATCATTCTTTCTTAAATGGCTCTTCGTTATGTTCAGTCATTCAGATGCCATTTTTTTTTTTTTTTTTTTTATGCAGCCAATGAATTAAAATGCTGAATGCCGTTTGCTTCATATAGTTGCTCTCGAGCAATATCCAGTTGCAAATACCATCTTTTTGTGTGTTTTTTATTTTCCTTTTTTTAATATACAGTATACATTTTTTTTTTAATGAAACATAATGTGTTTCTTTCTCATCTTTACAGATCATCATCGCCAAACAACACAAACCCCTTTGGATCAACCTTTTGTTTTGGTCTCCAGAGGATGATTTTCGAGGTAAAAAAAACAAAAAAAACTAGTTCTTTTTCACCATTAAACTACAGACTGACTGCTAAAAAAAAATGTGCAAAATGTAAGTGTCAAAATGCCTAAGATATGAGATGACTAAAAACTGACAGATCAGCCACGGAAAGTATGTCATTGTAGCAGCTGCAGACAATCCTAACTGACGGATCTCAGAGAGAAGTTGAACAGAAAGTTTAAAAAATCAGTTGTTTAACCTATATTGTTTTCTTTAACATAGACCAGTGGTAGGATAGTCTGCAGTGTGTTGAGAGGCACCTCTACCTCCAATCTTTTAAAGCATAATAGTGATAGGGGCTGAGGGTTCCTGTTTATAGCTGTTAAGACATTGTGAAAGTTCAGGTTACACACAGAAGTCCAAATGTTTTCTGTCTATGGCCACCTTTACTCTTAGCAATGATCCAATGAAAGTCATAGCTATATGTGGGTTGCTATAGATAACACCACCTACTCTCCTTTCTTTTTAAATGAATAAGACCTATTTTTCTGAATTTTTGAAAACTTTAAACACTAGTGAAAAGCACAAGTAATGCCAAATCCAGTGCCGGGACACGGTCCTCTAGCACCCAAGGTGAGGATGCCAGATTATGCCCACCACCAAGCTTTTAGTTTTGGCACTACAACTATAAACAAAACTTGGGGAAGGAAGGAGGTAATTTAAAAAAAAAAAAAAAAAAAAGGTTGGCTAAAATGTCTACAAATTTTAAAGTTAAAGAGTTTAGAGTTAAAGCTTGAGGTTAAAAAAGACTAACTAACAGGGTTATCAACAGTCAGTAAATTTACGGATAGTTTGTATAAAGAAAAAAAAAATTAATCTATGGCGGACTTAAGGCAGGTTTTGCCTCTGCTTTATCCAGGCTCTGGCCACATCCCAAGTTAAATATTAACATGATTAACTGGTAAAAATAAAATTGCGGTATCAGTTTAGATCAGGGGGAGGTGACGGGTAGATATCGAACACTTCCCTGCTAAGCTTACCCGTGCCACGAAGGCACAGGTCCTTCCCTCAACTCCTGCCCCCTCTGCCACTGTCATCCTCACAGTAGAGCGGAAAGCGGGAGGCAGCACAGTTCTGGATGGTGGGAAGGGAGCAGGAGCTGCCTCAGTGAACTTTTCAAGTTAACCAGCAGGCGATTGGTTTTTAAGACGCAGGGCAGTCCTAGCAATCAGTCACCAGCTTGTTAATATGAAAAATTAAAACCCGCAGCTCCTGCTGTACATTACTGTGGGGGGGGGGGTGATGTGAAGGGGAGCAGAGCACACTACCGTGGAAGTGATGTGAATAGGGGCAGAGCACACTACTGTGTATCTTTTATATCTGGTTGGATCAGATGATCTTATACCTAGGGTACACAAAGACATGTCCAAGTACTGGGTCTTCTGATTGATTAAAGTGGTTAGAAATCCTGGTTTGATCACTGTTGTTCCCTCTCTGATAAACCACAACTAGTAGCATCCTCCCACATTCTTCTTTAACTCCTTCTTGTTGACATGAAAAGAAAATTTCCTGTGCATACTGTTAAATATTACACCTTAATATTAGCAATATTTCAAAGCGTAAGTAAGAAAATGGAAAGTGCATATCTTTTGCACTGTAGTTTCCCTAGTTCCAAAATCCTGTGTCACAAGTCAAAAACTCTGCAGAAGCATTTATGATATGGTGTCCTCAACAAATGAGGGTGATTTTACTAAAAACTGAAGAGTGCAAAATTGGGGCAGCTGTGCATAGTAGCCAATCCGCTTCTAGCTTCAGCTTGTTTCATTAAGTTTGATAATAAAACCTGGAAGCTGCTTGGTTTCTATGCAGAGCTTCACCAGATTTTGTAATCTAGGTTTAGTAAATCAACACCAATTTGTTCAATGTTTTTGCCATTATTAAAGCCAAAGTCCAAGTACATATAAAAGACCCACCAATTAATGTAGATACCTATTCTGTACTTAATAAATGAATGTACTGTTAAATTCAACTAGTGTAAAGACCTGAATTTGACTTGATTTAAGGCTCTTGCAACCCTCTGTCCAGCAGCATTCATACTGGAAGAGGGAGATGCTGCACTTAAGATCAGGTATCCTGTATGCACATGTACTGACGAGGAACACACTGACAGGAGAAGAGAGCAGAGGAAAGGGCACATACTTCTCCTGGTGCTCCTTTATTGTCCAGTACAAGTGAGGGGGTGGGGGGCAGACCTTTCAGTGTTTCTTGACTACAGCTGAAAAAAAAAAAAGTCACCATCCTGACTGTACTGTGTAGCATAGCTGTGTAAATCTCTGCACTAGATGGACAAAAATACAAATCTTTTGGTGAGTAAAACAGGTCTGGTGTTTGCACATTCATGGTGTGCTTGCCTGGAATTCAGATTTAGGAAAGGCGATTGTAATGCAGAAAACGTTTCCAGGGCATATAGTTCATTTAAAGTATAATTAAAGGCAAAACTTTTTTTTCTTTTTAGATATGGATAAGGTATCTGATATGGATAGATATGTGAGGGGAAAGAACTGTCAGTGTCACCCTCTCTGTCCTGATCACTAGTGTCACTGGAAGTGAGGGTAAATCCAGAATTGAGTTACCACAATGAATAGAGGGAAAATCTTCCAATGGGGAGTTGTCTACAAGGGGATCTCCCTCACATTGCAAATATATCCTCTCACTTCCTGTTGAGTCTATGGGACAGAAAGTGAAGGGAAATTTCTCTAATGAGCCACAAGTGGCAAAGAAAAAAATGACAGCAGTTCTAACCCTCCCCTTATTAAATAACAAAAAAAACTTTATAGTTTTGTTGTAGGCATGGGTAAATTATATGCAGCCTTGCTGAAGCTTATGAAATAGGTATTGTTTGGATGTATGTTTTTAACTTTCCTTTCTTTGTTTTTAAGGTGATGCAGAACAACCACATAGCATCAGTCACTCTTTACGGTGCCCCAAGAGCCAGCGGGCAGCAGAAATCCTCCGGGCTCAGCCAGTAAGCATGGAACAGCGGGTGGGGTGGTACAGCCCAGTGTGCCTTCACTTGCTGACGGATACTCACACAAGACCCAGCTGTGTGTGCTGTTGGCAGAGAGGCGAGGAGCTGCATGGATTGTGGGTGACTGCAGCTGCTGCCTCCTTTCCAGTTCCTGCCGGGCGTCCTCTTCATTGCAGCCAGCGTGCCCTCCATATCCCTGTGACCTCCTCCATAGAATGTCAGGGTCACCTGGGAGCTCTCTGCTGCGCATAAAGCACAAACATGCACGAGCCATGTGCAGGAACAGGGCGTAAGAAGCCTTTGTGTTGGTGTTCTTGAATTCATGTTGTATTCACACCTGTATATATTAATATACGTGGGTATGTAAACACATTGAGATGTCTGTGGTTAAAGACAGTCTAACGTAAACGGTGTGTATATATACATAGATTTATTTATATATATACATACACAGCCACGCATTCAGGTACTACATCATGTGACTTTAAAAATGGAATACACACAACCTACCGTCAGAATCTGTGTGTTTGTGCACAAAAAAAAAAAATCTGTTGTTCCCCCCACGTCACAGGCTTCTGTTCCTGATGCTACTGATTCATAATGGATCCTTAGTATTCGTTTCCTGACTAACTGCCATGGTTAAGAGCATTTAAAGGGGAAGTATTTATCTTAAATCATTGTTTTCTAAGTTGTACATATTATGGGGGGCATGTTGATCTCAGCTTTTGAAAATATCCTGATTATCAGAAGATGTTGTCTAATACTGTAAGCCTGGAAAGATAGAATACTTCCCATTTAGGCGATTCTACAGATTCTTTAGGATCCAAGCTCAGTTGGGAGTGCTGAAGTCGTGTAGCTTTATTAATTTGCTGCCAAAAGAAAGCACTGCAGGTATTGCAGATACATGGCACTCTGTGGGGTTAATCATAACTCGGGCTTAGTGCATCTTAGAGTTCCCACATCTTAAATGTAAAAACGGAAGCTGTTTTGTGGGTAAGCTCAGTATTCGGTGAAGAATATCAGTTTTCTGGGGGGCGCTGGCATCACTGAGGCATGAAATAAAAATGATGAACTGAAGGAACTGCACTGTTTGTATCAAAAGCAGCCACACCGTGTAATATTGCTTTATGATACCCAGTGTGCATGTTGTGGATGAGTATACATTTAACCTGCATCAATCAGTTTTCACATGTGCTGTTCTGATAGAATGCTCAGGGTTTCTAGGGGGCCCAGGTGCACTCTGCTAGCTAGAACCCCCTCCCTTTTGAGCAGAGTAGGCAGGGCGGAGAAATGCTGTAACAATAAGATCACCTTTGGTGGTACTGCTAATGACCAGCACAGAAATACTTCAATATACATTCACTGTGCTTGGTCATTTAATATCACAGATCAACTGCAGCCACGAGCAGCTCCACCTTGGGGGAATCTTATTGCAGCACCTCTGCCCAGTAAAATTTACTGTGAGGGATACTACAGTTGGCCATACATGGAGCAAATTTCTCAACTGGTTCCTGTAAACCTGGCAAAGGGTGCCCTGTTGGCATTCTCCCACCCGACATCCTTCATTCTGAAAAGTAAAGGTGCCAGATGGAAGATTGTCATCTGAACAGCGGTTGCATCCACTATTCGGGTTTTTGACAAGCCTATATGATGGTTGTCAGAATACAGTAGTTGGCAGAAGAGACTCGTCCACCCACAATATTTATCGTAGATGGGGAATCTATTGATTTCTCTTGTTTAGCCCCTGACACTGAACAAGTGAAATCTTACAGTGTATTGCCATCTTAAAGTAGTTGTAAAGCTTATTTGATTTTTAAAAATAAAAAAGAGGGTATACCTACCTGCTTTGTGCAAGAATTTTGCTCCTCCTCTTCTCTAAGTGCCCCTATAACAAGCTGGCTGTTATGGGGACACCCATGACCATAGACCATATCTCAGCCCTGCTCACCACTTCCACCTCATAGGATTTGACTGACAGCAGAAGCCAATGGCTCCTGCTGCTGTCAGAGCCTCCTGTGAATACAGGAAAAGAGGAGAAGAACTGCTGTACATGGGCACAGCGTTGGAACAAGAAAGGACTTGGGTAAATATTTAAGGGGGAGTTGCTATTGAAAGTTTTTTTTTGTTTTACCTTCATGCATTAAGGCAATAAACCAATTGCCTTTAGAACCACTTTAAGGAGCAATACGAAGCTAGAGGGTCCTAGTTCCTCTTTCTACATACCTGAATTTGATGTAGTGGATGGGGTGGTCACAAACACTGGGTGTTGGATGCAGCAGAACTACTGCTTTATATCTTTATGTGCACCTTAATTGCAAAGAAATGGATAGAAAAAAACCTTGCTTGCTTGTACATTGCATTCAAAAAGTATTCAGACTCCATTCACTTTTTTCAATGTTATTGTGTTGCAGCCTGATACTACAGTTTAAATTTTTTTTTTTTCTTCTTAATCTACACTCAGCGCCCCATGATGACAAAGTGAAAACAGAATTTTAGAAATATTTGCAAATGTATGAAAAAGGAAAAACTGAAATATCACATTGGCATAAGTATTCAGATTCTTTTCAACAACACTTGAAATTTAGCTCAGGTGCCTCCCATTTCTTTATCATTGCTGAGATGTTCCTGCACCTTGATTGGAGTCCACCTGTGGTAAATTAAATTGAATGGACATGATTTGGAAAGGCACACACCTTTTTCTATAAAATGCCTCACAGCTGACAATGCATACTGTATCAGAACAAAACCATGAGGTCAAAAGAACTGTTTGCAGAGCTAAGAGACAGGATTATTGCATGGCACAAATCTGGGAAAGGCTACAAAATATTTCTGCTGCACTGAAGGTTCCCAAGAGCACAGTGGCCTCCATAATTATCAAATGGGAGGAGTTTGGCATAACCAGGACTCTTCCAAGAGCTGTTCACCTGGTTAAACTGAGCCATTGGGGGGGAGAAGGTTCTTAGTAGGAGAGGTGACTTAGAACCCGATGGTCACTCAGGCTGAGCCCCAGAGATCCTGTGTAGAGATGGGGCAAAGTTCTAGAAGTACCACCATCACTGCAGCCATCTGGGCTTTATGGCAGAATGGCTAGACGGAAGCCTCTCTTCAGTGCACATGAAAGCTCGCTTGGAGTTTGCGACCAGCGCTTGGAAGAGTCCAGGTTGTGCCAACCATCTTCCATTTGAGAATTACGGTGGCCGCTGTGCTTTTGGGAACCTTCAGTACAGCAGATTTTTTTTTTTTTTTTTTTTTGCAGCCTTTTTAAGATATGTGCCTTGCAGTAATCCTGTCTCTGAGCTCTGCAGGCAGTTCCTTTGACCTCATGGCTTTTGCTCTGATACAGTATCCATTGTCAGCTGTGAGGCCTTTTACAGAGTGCCTTTCCAAATCCTGTCCAATCAGTTTAATTTACCACAGGTGGACTCCAGTCAAGGTGTAGAAACATCTCCACAATGATCAAGAGAAATTGGAGGCACCTGAGCTAAATTTCAGGTGGTGTTGCAAAGGGTCTGAATGCTTATGCCAATGTGATATTTCAGTTTTTCCTTTTTCATAAATTTGCAAACATTTATAAAATTCTGTTGTTACTTTTGTCATTATGGGGTACTGAGTGTAGATTAAGAGAAAAAGATGATTTGAAACAACTGTAGTATCAGGGTGCAACAAAAACAATCTAATGAAAAATGCGAAGGGGGTCTGAATACTTTATGAATGCATTGTATTTAAAGCTGCTTACATTTTGGCACATTCATGTCTTATAATCAGATGTGCAACTCTGCTAATACAGAAAGTATTAGCACTGTAAACCATGGTGGCCACTCAGAGATGAATATTCAGCATGGAAATAAGAATAGATTACAAATATTTGCTATGCACACATTCCGTCTATGCTATAGGTTAGTAAATAATCCCTTTGTTAGTCAGTGACTGAACATTATACTTCATGCCTCTGTTATGGCCTGTTCCTAGTAAACTGACAGCCCTGATACTGGTCTTCTCACACAATGACTGCCTTCTCAGTGTATGCAACAGGTACACTTTACAAAGGGTATAATGAGTTACTCCTCATTTGAGCCCTAACCTTGAATCTTGCAGCCTTTACAATAAATGTGCATTGTTTGTGGTCTGCCCCATCAGTGAGGATAAGCATGCAAAAATAAGATGCTTGCCTTTTTTTTTTTTTTTTTTTTTTTTTAAACCATTTGCACTACATACACTTTACTTGATCAGTCAATGTGTTCACTGAACATCATCTGAGGGATCTTATGGACATTCGGATGTTGAGCGTAAAGCTTATTTATATGATGGGAAATTAACCTTCTCCCTGCTTTCCTGCACTAATGATTACTTGACAAGCTTTTTTTTCTAATTATATAACGACCCCTCATCTCTGTTAACGGTTTTGTTTTCATACCCATTTATTTGTGATTTGTAACTTTTTTTTTTTTTTTTTTTTTATTTAATAACTACCATAATTACTCCACTTGAATCTTTTTAGTTGTGGTATTTTAAGCAAATCCTCCAAACTGTTTTTTTTTTTATTCTAATTTTAAAAAAGTGCTCAGAAAGTCTTATAATTATTGGTACAGTGTTCCAGACCGAGGCCAAACAAGCCCCATTTGCACCTTTTGTCAGGGCACTTTCCCCTCTTACAGACAACAGCCAAAGACCTGATCTGCACGTGTGTTGGGGGAATACTCTCCGCTTTCAAAAATGACTAATTACTCCACAGTTCATGTCGCTTGACCTTGTCACAGTTGCTCTATCAGGGGTGGCCAACCTGCGGCTCTCCAGCTGTTGCAGGACTACAAGTTCCATCATGCCTCTGCAAGTCAGTAACTTCCCATCTTTGCAATGCCTCATGGGAAATGTAGTTCCACAACAGCTGGAGAGCCACAGGTTAGCCACCCCTGCTCTAGATGGAAGATTGTGAGTAAATTTCTGGAATATTGAAGTTTTATTTCCAACAAATCCTCCTTACAAATCCTGTTATTTTGTTTA